CGCAGCCCTTTTGCCAAAGGGACGTTGTGCGCGTTGTCCAGGTCAACCTTCGACGAAACGTGGGCGGAGAGTTGGAGAAACTGGCAATGGGTAAAATCAGATCATATTCATAGTGTAGTAATGGTAACTATAGTTAATATTGTATATTACAATTCATATCTAGTAATAGTATTAATCTCTATTAATCAGGTAATGAATAGTATTACAATAGTTGTAATTATACATCTTACCCTCTGGTAAACTAACATAGCTATGGAAAGATCCACCATTTTTCATGGGAAAATCCACTATCAATGACCATTTTCAATAGCCATGTTAAATTACCAGAGGGTATTACCATTATCATATTATGGTGATGGATTTTGTGAAGTCCTATGCCTCGCAAAATCTTGGGATTTCCATTCAACTTATGATATTTTTGGGGCCATAGAAAATTGGAAAAATATGGAAAATTTACATTCAAAAGCGCTGAATTTTGGCGCCGCCAATTCTTGGACAAAGACAAATTTGTGCAAGTTGGGTGGTGTGTTCAACAGGGCCCTGTCCTCTTAGCAACCTTGGTAACCTGTGCCATCTGCATGTGTTCCTTTCATCCAGTTCTGTTAGCAGTGATTGTTTTCCACCCCGTTGGCTGGTCTCATCTGGTTTATCCCGCAAAACATGGAAGGCCCAAAATGAAACTCCCTCCACACATGTATCCTGCAGCTAGGTCCGATATAGGTATCCAAGATATATGTTTGTTTTTCTCAAACTATCATTTTCCCTATAAGTTCTGTCCCAAAAATAGGGTACCATGGGTATTCCATCCGTTTCCCCGTTTCCCCGTTTCCCCATCCGTTTTGGGGACACAAAATTTGAGCGGCGCCTTCTCGCCGGTGCATTCCTGCAGATGACGCATGTGTCCCACCGCATTTTGGATGGTGGTCAATGCCTGGCCGATAAGTTGGCTGCAGATGGGGAGGTCAGAACATTCGGGGATGTTCGGTGATGGTGAAGCTGGCGACAATACTTCGGGTGAAGCTATAAATATTTATTTGTGTATGTATATATATATATATGTATACTGTAGATATATGTATATATATATATATATACATGACCCTGAGGATAGTCCTATGGATAACCCTAAGGATAACCCTAAGGATAACCCTAAGGATTTTAAGAAAGATTGGCTAGATACAACCAATCATCGTGCAGACTTCTTCAACGGCCTCACGAAGTGGAAACTCCTAAGGCTGTCGACCAAGGCTTGGTCTCCAATGGGTGGCACTTGGGGGAGCATTTCTCATGACATACCTATATAGTTGTTGTATGTTCTGTGTAAATATATGAGTGTGTATGTATATATATGTATGTATGTATGTATGTATGTATGTATGTATGTATGTATGTTTGTGCGTATGTATGTGCGTATGTGCGAATGTGCGTATGTGCGTATGTGCGTATGTGCGTATGTGCGTATGTACGTATGTGTGTATGTGCGTATGTGCGTATGTGCGTATGTGCGTATGTGCGTATGTGCATATGTGCGCATGTGCGCATGTGCGCATGTGCGCATGTGCGCATGTGCGTATGTGCGTATGTGCGTATGTGCGTATGTGCGTATGTCTGTCTGTCTGTCTGTCTGTCTGTCTGTATGTACGTATGCACGTATGCACGTATGCACGTATGCACGTATGCACGTATGCATGTATGCATGTATGCATGTATGCCTTCATGCGTGTATGCCTGTATGCACGTATGCACGTATGCACGTATGCACGTATGCAGGTATGCACGTATGCACGTATGCACGTATGCACGTATGCACGTATGCATGTATGCATGTATGCATGTATGCATGTATGCATGTATGCATGCATGCATGCATGTATGCATGTATGCATGTATGCAGGTATGCATGTATGCATGTATGCATGTATGCACGTATGCACGTATGCACGTATGCATGTATGCATGTATGCATGTATGCATGTATGCATGTATGCATGTATGCAGGTATGCATGTATGCATGTATGCATGTATGCATGTATGCATGTATGCACGTATGCACGTGTGCATGTATGCATGTATGCATGTATGCATGTATGCAAGTATGCACGTATGCACGTATGCACGTATGCACGTATGCATGTATGCATGTATGCATGTATGCATGTATGCATGTATGCATGTATGCACGTATGCACGTATGCATGTATGCGTGTATGCATGTATGCATGTATGCATGTATGCACGTATGCACATATGCATGTATGTATGCATGTATGCATGTATGCATGTATGCGTGTATGCACGTATGCACGTATGCACGTATGCACGTATGCATGTATGCATGTATGCATGTATGCATGTATGCATGTATGCACGTATGCACGCATGCACGTATGCACGTATGCACGTATGCATGTATGCATGTATGCATGTATGCATGTATGCATGTATGCATGTATGCATGTATGCACGTATGCACGTATGCACGTATCCATGTATGCATGTATGCATGTATGCACGTATGCATGTATGCATGTATGCATGTATGCATGTATGCATGTATGCATGTATGCACGTATGCACGTATGCACGTATGCATGTATGCATGTATGCACGTATGCACGTATGCATGTATGCATGTGTGCATGTGTGCATGTGTGCATGTATGCATGTATGCATGTATGCATGTATGCACGTATGCATGTATGCATGTATGCATGTATGCCTTCATGCGTGTATGCCTGTATGCACGTATGCATGTATGCATGTGTGCATGTATGCATGCATGCATGTATGCATGTATGCATGTATGCCTTCATGCATGTATGCCTGTATGCACGTATGCATGTATGCATGTATGCACGTATGCACGTATGCATGTATGCATGTATGCATGTATGCATGTATGCCTTCATGCGTGTATGCCGTAGTATGGCAAGTCCCCCCCCGCTCCCCCCCCCCCCGTTTAGCTCCCACCGCGCCCCGCCAGACCTCTCTCCTGTCCTCCCTCCCCCATGTATGCATGTATGCACGTGTATGCCTGTCATGTATGCCTTCATGGTGTATGCCTGTATGCACGTATGCATGTATGCATGTGTGCATGTATGCATGCATGCATGTATGCATGTATGCATGTATGCCTTCATGCATGTATGCCTGTATGCACGTATGCATGTATGCATGTATGCACGTATGCACGTATGCATGTATGCATGTATGCATGTATGCATGTATGCCTTCATGCGTGTATGCCTGTATGCACGTATGCATGTATGCATGTATGCATGTATGCATGTATGCCTTCATGCGTGTATGCCTGTATGCACGTATGCATGTATGCATGTATGCATGTATGCATGTATGCCTTCATGCGTGTATGCCTGTATGCACGTATGCATGTATGCATGTATGCATGTATGCATGTATGCCTTCATGCGTGTATGCCTGTATGCACGTATGCATGTATGCATGTATGCCTTCATGCGTGTATGCCTGTATGCACGTATGCATGTATGCATGTATGCATGTATGCATGTATGCATGTATGCATGTATGCCTTCATGCGTGTATGCCTGTATGCACGTATGCATGTATGCATGTATGCATGTATGCATGTATGCCTTCATGCGTGTATGCCTGTATGCACGTATGCATGTATGTATACATATATATATACTGTTTGGGCTGGAAAGGTTCCCCAGTTGCACTGAAAGAAATCGCCTCAGAAACTCGTCGGTTTTCAACCATGTCCATGGTGTCGAGCTGCGGAAGGCGATGGGCACTGAAGCTCTGGATTTGGGGAAGGAGAAATATGAGTCCTATATAAATGGTTGTTCATCAGTACCCTATATTCATAAATATCATTGATCAGTTGCTTCGTAAATGAACCCTGTATATATATACATATATATATATATAGCAACCACCCCACTTTTTTGGGTGGTAAAAGTTGGAAATCTGAAAATTGAATCATGCTTTTCTACCATTGTAAAGGACTCCTCTGAAATACATATGTTCTCTGCTAATTTTCCATCTGCGTACCATGGGATGCTTGGACGAATCCATACATTGACCAATGAAAAACTGGGATGCATCAGGCTCTATTTAACTACCTGAAATGGGAATGCTATTACCAACAAGAATCGGGAGATAGAAACCAACAAACATGGCGAACATCAAACAATAAAACTAGGACTAGGGATAGGCACCAAAAAACGAGACTTTATCATCTGGTCGTCAAGCATGGCTGGAAAATCCCCTAATCTGATGTGACGTCAATCATCTAGGTCTAGAAGTGAATATGTTGACAGGGAAATTCCAGCAAACCAGCCATTACTGGAGAACCCAAGTCACCCTGCAGTGTCTGATATGGTTCCAAATTCAATCAACAGTGGTCCTTTGGGGTCAAGGTGTTCATGTACATAACCTATCGGACTGTGGAAGTCGCCAGTGAAAATGGTGACACAATCAACAAGAATGTGGTAGATACAAGGGATTCTAAGTTTGGTTTGTGAAAGTTCACCCGAATTGGTTGGCCATTCTTGATGGCTTGTCCCTATGAGCCACCATCTATCTATATATATATATATATGAGCGATTGTGAAAACCCTAGGTTCACGGAAAGGACATCCACAAATTTGGGAAGGTCCCATCGCTTACCACACGTTTGTACAATAATGATATATGGTAAACTTGGGGGTATCGCTTGCAGGAAACTGCTGCATTTATATATATATATATGAACTATGAATAATATGTGATATTTGGGTATCGCTAGTGTGGATATTAGAGAAATATGATGACATAACCTTGAAAAGGGGTATCGCTAATTTGGGAAGGTCCCATCGCTTACCTCGTGTTTTTAACAATTTCCATCAATTTCCATAAACCAATGTCCGTCGAATACATATTTAGTATTGCCGGGGTTTTTACGGTTGCTCATATATATATATATATATAGTCTACGTGGGGTATAAATTGTAAAAATATAGCTATGTTGGGCCATTCATGGAGTCTGGTTGGCCGTGAGCTTCACCATCTGGTCACCCCTGCGCTGAAGATCCCCACCACGATAGGAGCGAGGCAACACGATCACGTGACACACTGGAAACTCGAAACGGCTGTGAGGCGCGAACTTCCAATGGTCAAGATGTGGGGATGGGTCAAAACCCTGGTACCTAGTGAACCCCAAAATAGCTGGTAAATGGATGTTCATCCCACTAAAAATGTATCTATAGGTATTGACCCATACCCATGTTGCTTGGTGAAAGCCCCATTGTGTGATGGTTCGATCCCCATTCATTGATCATGATACATGCACTTCCGGATCACTTACTACACGGACTTACACCTGGGAAATATGACATGGCATCAAGAAATAGCTAAAAATGGCCGTTTCACCTAGGGAAATCACCTTCCAGTTTCCAACCTTATTTTTGAGCTTTCCATGCGGGCATCTTTCCTGTCTTCAACTGCCTATTCTTCATGACTTGCTGCTTCATACATAATGACATACTGAAATGACATCCCAAATGCCCAGTTTATATCAATCATGGCTGCAACCCTTCACAGAGTTAGTTGATGCTAGTTGTATCTGTACCGTAGCTGCACTTCCTACACCCCATTCACATCCCATATTGGTGACTTTCATCTCCATTCGTTGTTAAAAATTCAGGCCCTACCAGGCCCTACCACAAAACTGCCTCAAATTCATTCAGCATCCTGGGTTTTCCACATTCCCAAAGCAAAACACGTGTCACTTTTCGTGGGCACATTGCTATGGACGGAAAATCCCCGATCGATGGTTGAATCAATTGAATCCCGTTGATTCCCCCGTTGGAGGGTACTTTGAACGACAGAAAAATCACCACTGAACGACAGGTTGATGTCAACTTGATGATTTAATCCCGAGGATGGATGGTTAAATGACCATGGTTGATGGTTACAGTTCAGTTGAATCTCCAGGTTTGACCTGTTAAATCACTATGTTCATGCTTCAAAATCATTCAAAGTCTGTTTCTTTTGCCGCATGGTTTGGAAAACTCCAAGGACGAGCCCGGAGCTGAGGTTCTGGCAGTCTGGCAATGATACAGAAAGCACATCTAATGGCAGCGCCTGTACCGGAGGGTGAATCATTGCACCAAGCTGTCCAACGAAGAGATTCTGTTGACCAACTTGTTCAAGTGATTTAAGCACCAAACATGTGGAATTCAGCCATCAAAAATTGCTTGACCAACTTACTTTGGGATGCCAAAGTATCCCAGCTATCCATACAGTACAGCCATAAAACAATGGATTTATTCTGTCAAAGAATGGCATTAACATCATGAAATCATGGAAATTCACCCATGAAAAATGGAGGGCTTGACCAAGCTATTGAAACCCAAGATGTAGAGATCCACTGAGTATGTGGCTTTCACCAGAAATCGAAGATACCCCTGCTATTTATGGCAATTTCAGGGAAAGTGGTTCTCAAATCAGTGGAATTGGTGGTGCTCAATTCAGGTCATTGGGGATACCAAATCAAATGGTTTTCGAAGCAAACAGGAGGGTGATTTAACCCACATGGGGAGGTTATTAAGCAGTAGAAACAAGGGCATACACAGGAATCTAACATGGCTGGCATTGGGAAAGCTCCATGCTAAATAGGAAGATTATTGCATCTGTTTGTGAGGACTATTGTATGAAGTCATTTATATAGATTTCAAGAGGGTATCACCAACAAGACCCCTGTTACCCTGGTGAATATTAACACAGCTGGTGTCACGGATGTGTCATAGGTTTAGACCCATACCCATACCAACAAGCAAGAATGGGGATAATGCAGACAAGAAATGGCTGCTAATTACCAGATGGTGCCTGTAACCAACAAGGATGTAGGTATTCAAAAGCTAACATGGGAAATTCTTACATATCAACAGGAATGGGGTATGAAGGGACCAGCCACCAGGCATGGTTAATTTAGATCGCTGTTCCCTCCTCAAATAGACCAAATATGGTTGAGTTTCAGATCTTCCAACTTCATCATATCCACTACGCCAGTTCTATCCCCTGCTTCTTGTGGTTGAAGCTTTTGCTCCAACCCAAGGTTTGAGGACAAGAAGTCCCAATCTTCGGTGGTTTACCTCCCTGTTCTTGGTGGTAAAACGCACACTTTTGGATGACAACAAAAATCCCAATATTTCTTTGGACTTCCCATGCCATTCCCTACAGACCCCAAGCCCCCGCGTCCTGCTCCACGGCCGGCACCGAGCCGTCATTGCTGTGACAGTTGGAACCAATCAAAATAGATGTGTCTGAAACTCGGGGATACCTCAAAATGACTGGTTCAGTGGGGAAAAAGATGATAATCCATCGAGTGTGGTCCTACACCATATATCCCACTTTCTCACAAACCCCGATGTGAAACGGAAAATCATCGAGAAGTTACTCGACAAATCGGCAATTTCAGCAATGAAAAGTTAGTTTTTGAATCCTAATCTTGAGCCACCCCGGAGCCCCATAATAATGCTCGTCAATTGAATTCAATTGCCGCCCCAATCATATGTTTGAAATCACCAACCACTCCTTAAAGTTTCTTGGTCGGAATTGAACTAGTTGAGGGTTTTCCGTTGATATCCGACATCTTGAGATGGAAAATTGCCAAGTTGCAGGGAAAATAGAATCCAGATCAACCAGCATTTCTCAAGAAGCCACCCAGTCAACCAGAGGCACATCGGTAGTCAATCCTGTGGACATTGCGCAAGCGAAATTTGTGCGAAGCTGTTGTCTTTAATTTTGAAATCCCCATTAAACCAGGTAGTATCAGGTAGTACAGTTCCCTATAATAACCAATCAAGAATTGTATTTTGAATAGCTTACGTGCTTTCCCTTGTCCATTCGCTTCCCTTCCCTTTTGCAGCGAGGTCTGAAAGCCCGAAAAACCGAGGCGATGAGAGCCAAATCAAAATGGGTGTAGTGGGAGTTTCAGTAGGAATCGCTTCGGGGGACGTTCCATCATAGAGTGCCCCAAGAGAATTGTGTGTTGCGGATAGTGTTTCAGGAATGGATAGCACTGTGCCTCCACATTTGCAAAACAACAAATGTTGCTGATACCCATAGAAACGTGTAAATACGTTTTCATATGTGCTTGTCCGAAAATACGGTATTCCTAACTCCACATGTGAATCATTATCCCTATTGAAAATTTCGATTTCACAAATATACATATATAGGCATACCTCTCACACCCCCAAAATATCTTAGCAAGTTATCTTTATGTATCACCATTATATAGTCAAATATATTCCCATAAAATATCCCGATAAACTATCCCATTAACCCCTGAAACATCGCCGGAGTTGAATCACAAGTTGGATTCACCACATTGTTCATCCACCACTCATCAACAATTAACCCACCATTCATCCACCATTCATCCACCATTCATCCACCATTCATCAACCATTAACGGATGGTCTCCCAGGCCCTCGCCTTCTGGCACGCTCTTGGTCCGCTCGGCTTTGCGCGCGGCCCTCCACCGACTTCTCGGTGATGGGGCGACGCGCCTCCCAGAGGGAGGGGGAAAAAATTCACCGCACTGCGACTTTGGGAATTACCCTCTGGTAAACTAACATAACTATGGAAAATCACCATGTTCCATGGGAAAATCCACTCTAAATGGTGATTTTCAATAGCTATGTTAAATTACCAGAGGGTACCCATCAAAAAATGGCGGTTCTTTAAAACAAAAAAAATAGTGATTTCACTATGTTTAGAATGATGATTCCATATGATTTTTATGCATATCTATATCCATCAAAGATCGGGATGTAACCAAGAACAATGAGGATACAACCAAGGAGAAAAGAGTCACGACTAACAAAAAACTGGGATTTATCACTCAGAAACATGGATAAGCCACTTAAGATTGTGACATGAAACAAAAATGCGGATGTCGACAAACCGAATGTGAGCATAGTCAACAAACAGAGGAAACTCAGAAACAATAAAAAGGATATGGATATGAAGTAACTCACAATAGGTGGGACATATAGAATCGAGCACTGGTCCACAACGGTAGGGATTGGATCAGCAAAAAAGTTGGTGTGTTGAGTAGCTCAAAGATCCCAGAAATCCACTGTTTGATGGTCTATTTAATCAGCCATATAATCTACTCCAGATCCACACGGTAGCGCACCTCTTGTGGGAAGAACTGCCATTGATCAAAACAGATTATCTCGCCGGAAAAAAAAAAACATGTTTACCCAACAGGTGTATATAACTTATATACCTTGCCATTCAAGAAATGAAATATGCTTTGACACCATTCGGCTCACAGGGAATGATTCCCCAAGATTAACAAATAATAACGTGCAAGCTTTGGTCAAGCGAAAACTATCATGAATCCCACACATCATATCTCACCAGTTAAATCCCAACTCTTCCATTTCTGGTTGGTTACATCCCCAGTTCTGTTGGTGAAAACAGACATTGACGGTGCCTGCTGCGAAATTTCCAACTCCTTGAAAGCCTGGCTGCGTCCCTGGAGTTTTTGGAGGTTTCTACAGACCACAAATGGGGAGACAAAACCTCGAAATGGAGGTTTAACAGACATTAATTGGTATTTGACCAACTACAGCTGGGGATTTTTGTAGTGCCAAGAGAAATGGAGACATCAAAGGCAAAAATGGAAGATCAAGTGGATAAGCAATATATATATATATTGTGTATACATATATATATACATATATATATGTATATATATATGTGTATATACACGTCCCTGAAATACTTCCTGCATCACTGGGAGAAGTGACTCCACCCCTTTCAAAGAAACTGCGCCAGGCAGGCTGTGGAGGCATAATTGGCGCGGCCAATGTGCATATTTCGGCAGTTGTCCACCTGAGTTCAAAAACCAGCAATTTGAAGCATACCACGGGAGCTGCTTTTTGGCACCTTGCCAAGTTAATGTTGATTCACTGGAGGTTGCGTCATGCTCAGTACAAGCCTGAAGCAAGCACCATTGCAGGGTTTGGGCACCAATCAGCTCAGTTGGCCCAACTATCTGCGGATCGTATCTAATGCATGTTTCCCTATGTTTGGAGAATGTGCAAACCGAGTTCCATGTCTGTTTAGAACACATGAAGCCCTAGGAGGTGTGTATATAAATACAATTACAGCGTGTGTGTATATATATGTGTATATATATATATGTATCTGTGTGTGTGGGTGTTTGATGCCGAAATATAAGTAGGCAGTGATTCCTTGCGAGTTTGGTGACAATAAACATGATAACAAATGGAAACAAAAAAATGTTCTTGACTTCTAGCGTTTGAAGGGATTACAGTAAGCCCGCAAGAAGGAATGAGGAAAGCCTTCCAGTGACGCCGCCTTTGTGACAATCTGGAGGATGACTCCTAAGAACCAACAGAATGATCTATCTAAAGAAAAATGCCAAAACAAAGTCCTTTGAGGGACCTCGGTCCTTAGCCATATTCAAAAAAAGACATACGTATGGATGTGTATATGTGTGTATATACATATATATATATACATACATATATATACATATACATAGACAGTGAAATATCCCCCTTTCTCTCATTAAAACAAATCCACATGTTTTGGTCCAGCTCCCTGGGCGTCGGAACGAGGCAGGAGACGAACTGCTGGGCGCAGTGTTTCTCATGCTGCCTGCGGCCATCCCGAAGGATGGATATGATCATCCCAGCAATATCTCCCATATTGATCATATGTATATAATATATATATTATAAATTACTGGGATAATTTTGGCCTATGTATGTATTATAATGTGGTATATGTATTAACGGTCATATGTAATAATGGTATAGTGGAAATTATTGATAATATCTCCCCATTATTGATAATATGGATAGTATGATAATATTATTGATAATTATATAGTATATAATGGTATTTACTGTAATTTACTTCCATGGTAGGATATGAAAATTCAGGTGATATCAATAATAATTCTAGTGCTAGTTAGAATATCAACAATAACATATCCCATATTAATAGTGGAATTGACAGGGAAAAATAGTTCAATAATGAAACCCAGGAAAACAGAGGGTTATTCTAGTCCACTTCTAATGTTCCTGTCTTAGTATATTTAGTATTGGTATGACCATCGATTCTTGAGTCCGTGCCCCAAGTTTAGACCATGGTTCATATGATGTGATGCAAGTTCAGTTCAAGGCATTAAATTTCGGAGGGTCACAACTTGGGGTTCTGAGACCAGCCAAGGATCCATCAAAAGTACTGGTAGAAAATACACTGCATGTTTTTGCCTTGGCAATTGCAAAATCCCCGCACTAGCCATGAGGGTTGCCGGGAAAATCATCGAAGCCATGGTGGATTCTCCAGCTGATTGCCGGAGGCTATCTATCTACCAGTTGGTATCATTTCCAGTGCCACCTTTGGGCGGGGAAAAACACACACATTTGGGAAACAATTATATAGTGGTTTTGGGGGTTCAAGTTTGGGAAACACACATTTTGACACCCCCACCTCAGCCACATGTTGGTTCCATTCGACTTTGCTTTCATATCCATTCTACCGTGTTTTTTTGCTCGATGATTTCTCCCCAGGTTTGTTTGGTCAATATCCCCATCGTTCGTGAAACCCCATGTTTCCTTGCAAGATCCCTATCGTTCTTTGTTCAAATGCCAGGTTGGTGTATATTTCCCTCCTTATCCTCGTTAAAGCCCATTTTTGTTGGCTAAATCCCAAGTTTTCTTGGTGAACATAATTGTTGGTGATAAATCCCATTTTCTCTTGGTGAAATCCCATGAAATCAGTAGTTGTTGGCTAAATCCTGCTGGTTAAATCCCCTATGATGAAAACATAGTATTTATCTATCAATATATCTATCTATCTATCAATCTATCTATCTATCTATCTATCAATCTATCTATCTATCTATCTATCAATCTATCTATCTATCTATCTATCTATCAATCTATCTATCTATCTATCTATCTATCATAAATTAAGCTGGCTAAATCCCCTATGTTTTCATGGTTAAACCACATCCTTTTTGGTTGAATCCTCCATGTTTTGTGTTTCTGCACCCTCCACACCTCCAAAAGTCTTCCTTGGCGTTCTCGTGGCGTCGGTGGACCGCGGCCCGTAGCTGCGTCCTGACGCCATTGATTTTTGTATGTACCCCAAGGTATGTACAGATCGCATTAATGTATAAAATCGAATGATGTTCATATGTATTTATAATGTATATGTACATCATATATATATACATGTGTTTTTGATTTCACTCGGGCTGAGATATGTGTATATATATAGTGTGCATACATACATTACCTTACCTTACCTTACCTTACCTTACATTAAATACATAACATAACATAACATGACATGACATAACATAACATATCATCACATAACATAACATAACATAAAATAACGCAACATAACACAACATAACATACATTACAATACATTGCATTGCATTACATTACATTACATACCATAACATAACATAACATTGCAATACAATACAATACAATACATTACATACCCTTCATACATTACATACATTACATACATACCGTACATACCATACATACCATACATACCTTACATATATACCATACATACATATGTACGTACGTACGTACGTATGTACATACATACATACATTTTATACATTGCATACATTGCATACATTACAGACACTACATACATTGCATGCATTAAATACATTACACTCATTACAAGCATTACATACATTACATACATTGCATTACATTACATTACATTACATTACATTATATTACATTACATTACATTACATTGAATTACATTACATTACATACATTTCATACATTACATTACATTGCCTTACCTTACATTACATTACACCTTACCTTTCCTTTCCTTACAGTACATTACATACATTACATTACATTACGTTACGTTACGTTACATTACATTACGTTACATTACATTACATTACATACATGCATGCATACATACATTACATAATTGCATACATACATTACATTACATTACCTTACATTTGACTACATTCCATTATATTAACATACATACATACATACAATACCATACAATACCATACATACAATACATTCATTACATACGTTGCATACATTACATACATTACATACATTACATACACTACATACATTACATACATTACATACATTACATACATTACATACATTACTTACATTACATACATTACATACATGACATACCATACCAAGCATTACCATACCATAATAACATTACATAACATTGCATTACATAACATTACATTTACATTACATTTACATTACATTTACATTACATTACATTACCTGACATGACATGAACATACAATACCATACATACATTACATACATTACATACATTACATGCATTACATACATTACATACAGTACATACATTGCATACATTGCATACATTGCAGACATTGCATACAGTACATACAGTACATACATTACATACATTACATACCTTACATACCATACATACCATTCATACCATACATACCATACATACATTACATACATTGCATACATTACATACATGCCATACCATACCATGCCATGCCATACCATACCATTACATTACATTACATTACATTACACTACATTGCATTACATTACACTACAATATACATATATATATATGTCTACTTGTGTACACATACACTTTATATATATAGTTATATATATATATAGTTATATATATAGTTATATATATATATATAGTTATATATATATAGTTATATATATATAGTTATATATATAGTTATATATATAGTTATATAATTATATATATAGTTATATATAACTAAATTTATCTATATCCAGCATATGTATTTGTTTGTATGTATATATTCCAACTGACGGCTTTCAACTTGGGAAAACCAAACTGGAAACCCATCAACATTAATATGTCTCAAACTTGGGCACCAATCTCCCGACGAAACCATTGAGTTTGGGGGACATCCGACCACGTTGATAGGTCTCACATTTGGAGAAGCGGCAACGCGCACATGGTCTTAGGTAATATGTTGCATCGTGCCCCATGGCATGTTGATATGATATACCCATCATCATCATCATCATCATCATCATCATCGTCCTCATCATCATCATCATCATCATCATCATCATCATCATCATCATCATGTTGCAAGGGGAGTAGCATGTGGATCCCTCAAGGAACCTCCATGCCAGTAATGGGCTCAATAGCCACAGAATGTTCAACCAATTCTTTTCCAGGTGACCAACAAAAATATCGGGATGATCCAGCCACCCTATGCCTTTCGGTATATCGGTGACCACAGGAAGCGAAAAGCATCAAGGCTGTAAGGTTCAAGACATTTGTCTATGCATCGAAGTAGCTGGTATACAGCTGGATGTTCATTCCCCAACAAAAGTTAACTACATCTGCATGTTTATAGTAATCCTCTGTCCAGTTTGTTGCTTAATCTCCTCAGTTTTTGTTGGGTAAACCCCTATGTCCTGTTGGGATAGATTGGCAGCGGGTAAACCATCATGTTTGGTTTGTTGATCTCAGCATTGTTGGGTCAAATCCCTGTTGTCATCTTCCATTTCAGGTAGTTAAACCCCCAGACATGGCTTTTCCCTCACATGGCTTTGTGCAAAAATGGGATACACCCAAAACCAAAGCAGGTTGACCAAAGTTTTTCGTACTCAAATGACCATAACTTGAGATACTGGTTAACCCTTCCGTTGGTGCTTCCCATCCACTCACGGCTGCATTTCTCAGGCCTCTTCTGCTGGACCTTCTTGTCAATCTGCTGGTTTACCTAAAATACCAAGCGGAGATGGCCTTAAAAATTGGGAGTTCACCCATCAAAATGCTGGTAGTCACTGGCAGTCACTGGCACCCATCACGCCAAAAAATACACTGTGAGTCAAGTTCCTCATTGTGGCTTTGCTCCACTTTGAACACCCAAAAGAAAATACAAGGGAACATCCCTGCATTGTTTGTCTAAAGAGAAAACAAACACTCATCACCATTCTGTGCTGGATGCATCAAGAAAACAAGCGCCAAACCGGTCATGTTGGTTCAAGGTCATCCCCGTTGTTTCCCATGTGGGAATGGGTCGAGACACCCGCTAACTTGAACATGGAACCACACAAATTGGGTTTGAAAGATAATTGTCCTACAGTACATATTGGACGGCCATTTTGGGTTTCCATTCTTAACATCTCAATCTCTTGCTTGGTTAGATTTCCAGAGGGCAAGCCATAGTATTTTGGTGGTTGATCTCCTTGTTGGTTAATCTCGTCCATTTCACATAGCTGAACCCGAGTTTGGGTTTGCGCAACAAACTGGATATATCGCGCAAATCCAAAATTGGGATAGACCCAAAACAAACTATCATAGATTTCCCCTCCGCAGACGTTCTGGAACCACACTATGATCAACTGAACGAAGCTTTGCTGTTGATGGAAGCACATATCTTCCGTTTCTGGACACACCCGAAGACTCAGTGGATCTATCTTAGCTTCAATAGCTGGTTGAAAAAATCTCCATCGCTTGATGATTGAGTCCCCGCTGTTTGAGAGTAATATCCAATGTTCATCTTGCATACATCATGGTTTTTGATGGTTTAAACCCCCATGATAAAGCGGATAAAGTCCTCTTGGCTCCTAAATTTCCCGATGTTTTCACATTTTTTGGTGAAATCAAAAAAAAAATAGATCTGCCAAATCCCCATGTTTTGAATCTTGAACCCCCATGGTTGATGACTAAACCCCCATGTTTTGATTGTTAGATCACTGCTGGAACGGCACCTCCTTGATCTCCTCCTGCCAGGCCGAAACCAGCTCATCCGCCTGGAAGCACCAAAAAATCTCTAGATTTTAAGCTCCAAACATCTGGGACTTCGAAGATTTTAGAAGTCAAGTCAATGTGGATTCTCTGCTTAAAGCTCCAAAATTTGGAGCTGGGAATTGAAATCCACGTCAATAATTCTTTAATGATTTGAAGCAATTCAACGTCTCACCATGCTGTTGGTGGGTTGTTTTTGACCCGGAGCCATACTGGCAAAGACCTCATCAAGGCTCAAAGGAACTCTCCAAATTTACATTGGCGTACGCGTATATACATCGACATTGATTTACAAATATATTAATCAATATGTGTATATATATATGTATACATGTGTATATATATATATATAAGATTATATAAGTAAATCTGGGATGTACCCAAAGAAATGGACCCTCTAGGCAATGCTAAAAATCTTCTGTCCCTCAACGGTTGTTGAATAGATGGTGGGTTGGATGAGTTCAGAATCTCCATCAAAAAATCGCTGGATTTCAGGCAATGTTCATTGAAGATTCAGTCCCCACCATTCGACCTTGCCCATGAGTGTCTTGAACAGGTTTTCCCGGACATCCTGGCGCCGGTACTGGCTTTTTTCTGCGATTTAGGAAAGATGACAGGGACACTTTGCGCCTAAAAACAGTGAAACGACCAAAATTGGGATACAATCGACAATATATGGATAGGTTCTATCCAATCATAGCAGTCATCGTCCAACCTGTTGTTTCTACACAAACCGACTGGATCTGACCGGGTCACAAAAAGTTCACTTCGTTTCACAGCGACGTTGGAAGAAATAGACTGCACATGACTGCACGATCTGGCCTACAACTTGCCATCATTTACCTTGAGATACCTAGAGATTGGATTAGATTGTTCCATTTACCGGTGACCCCTCCATTAAGCAATGGGAAGATCCGCCAGCAGGTCCTGTTGGAGCTGCTTGAAAAAGGCTCCAAAGGCCTCCAAATACTCTTGCTCCACCTGCAGCGCCGAGCTGGGATTTCAAATTCCAACTGATCTCCAACAACATCTGGAAGAAATCAGGATCTCAACCAACTCATCACACTTGGTATAACAAAACAACAGATTTTGAAGTTTTTCTTGCCTGAGTGTGGCAAACCCGAAACCATAAACCGTCCCCAATGACTTACCGAAAGTGGGCACTCTTATAAACTATCCCCGATGTTAGAGTTTTTGTTACTGAATGTTGGACAAATTACTCAACATGATACTCTGATTGGTGTGTTACATTGTTAAATTATCTTAAATCCCATCACATCCCCAATGTTTACAGGTTAAATTAAATCCCATGTTTTTGTGGTAAATCAGCATGTACCATAGGAAAAACCACCATCCTTCACAGTGAAACTCACCATTTTTGATGGTTCCAACGGTTCCAACCGCCCGAACTCGAGGCGCAGCGCCTTGCCCGCCACGCTGTCCAGTTTGCCCATCTCCTCTGCGCAGCCCCGGATCACCAGCGTCGCCTGAAAGGGCCGTTGTTGGAAGCCGTGGGAGTTGATGAAAAGCGGAAAAATGATAAAAACCAAAGAAAGAATGAAGAAATTTTTGGGGAAAAATGATTCAAAAATAAAACAAAGAAAAACCAAAGAAACCCACAAAAACAACAATCAAAACGATGAAAGCATCAACTGAAACTAAACGATCAAACATTAATTCAGAAACAATCAAAAGTATGATCATCAAGAAAGTTTAACTACAAAATCATATGTCTTCAGTGATTTAAACCCAAAAATACAGTCAAAAACATAATTTCTATATGTTTGTATCCTCAATCCTGCATCATACTTTTAAGTTCTATTTGTTTGAAGCCAAATTTCTAAAATTATTGAATAAGTGTTCTTAAATCTATCTATCTATCTATCCATCCATCCATCCATCCATCCATCCATCTGTCGAGTCGAGTCGAGTGGAGTGGAGTTGAATCGAATCGAACCGAACCGAACCGAATCGAATCTAATCTAATCTCATCTCATCTAATTAGTTGTCTTTCTATCTATCTTATCTATCTTATCTATCTATCGATCTATCTACCTACCTAGCTATCTATCCATCTATCTATCTCTCTCTCTCTATCTCTCTATCTCTCTCTCTCTCTCGCTCTATCTCTCTATCTCTCTCTCTCTCTCTCTTTCTCTCCATCTCTCTATCTCTCTCTATCTCTCTCGCTCTATCTCTCTATCTCTCTCTCTCTCTCTCTTTCTCTCCATCTCTCTATCTCTCTCTATCTCTCTCGCTCTCTATCTCTCTCTCTCTCTATCTCTCTCTATCTCTCTATCTCTCTCTCTCTCTCTCTCTTTATCTCTGAATCTCACTATCTCTCTATCTCTCTATCTCTCTATCTCTCTATCTCTCTATCTCTCTATCCCTCTACCTTCCTATTTATCTATCTATCTATCTATCTATCTAATCTAATCTAATCTAATCTAATCTAATCTACAGTAATCTATCTATCTGCCTACCTACCTACCTACCTATCTAACTATCTATCTATCTACCTATCTACCTATCTATCTATCTATATATCTATCTTTCTTTCTTTCTTTCTATCTAATCTATCGTTCTTTATTTCTATCTATCTATCTATCTATCTATCTGTCTATCTATCTATCTATCTACCTACCTACCTATCTATCTATCTATATATCTATCTATCTTTCTTTCTATCTAATCTATTGTTCTTTATTTATTTCTATCTATCTATCTATCTCTCTGTCTATCTATCTATCTACCTATCTACCTATCTACCTATCTACCTATCTACCTATATACCTATCTATCTATCTATCTATCTATCTGTCTATCTATCTATCTATCTATCTATCTATCTGTCTGTCTGTCTGTCTGTCTATCTATCTATCTATCTATCTATCTATCTATCTATCTATCTATCTATCTATCTATCTATCTATCTATCTAATCTATCGTTCTTTGTTTCTTTCTTTCTATCTCTCTATCTCTGTTTATTTTGGTATAATGTGTATCGAAACTTTGGTTTTACTCTTTCAAAGTATGCCATACCATTTATTGGGAATTATGTTTGAACGATTTTTATAAAAAGGCAAAAATAAAGATAACCAGAAAAAACTACAAACAGCTAAAAAATGCTCAAAAAAACAAACAAAAGTTGTTTAAAAAAACTACAAAAAGCTTTAAAAAGCTTCGAAAAAGAAGAAGAAAAAGGAAAGAAAATGCTTTAAAAAAACACCCTTCCGGGCTGCGGAAGGGACACCCCCCCGACTTGAGTGTGATTGTCTAGCTTCTGTTAGCTTTATTTCGCTTTTCTTAGCTCCCACTTCCCTCGTCCAGTGGCTTGAAGAGGCAGGTCTTGAAGAGACATGTGACGCGTCTCTCCAACTTGGAGACCGCAAACCATGGATTTTTTTCGTGGCTTTTGAGGGATTTGAGGGTCCCAAAATTTAAGAAACCCCCGTTTTGGCCTGGCTTGGCTGTCCACCAACATCTGGGTTTATCCAAAAAACTAGGGACAAGACCTGAAAAAATGGCGTCTGGGCTTGGTCATTTCTAGAGGGATAATTCTTGTTTCCAACCATCAAACATAGGGTTTTACACCAACAAACTGCAATTTTCATCAGGAAATGGATGACCAAACGGCCTCAGATTGTGGGGTGTCCCTGGCCTGTGCATCGCCCCGTGCGCTACAGCGACGAATGGCATCCTGGCCCTTCAGCCAGAGCTCGTACCTGGCGGCGTTTTGGTTAGCTTCCCAGTGACTGAAGAAGTGGATTTTCATTGGAGGATTCAAAGCACTGATATGGGGATTTATGTCCATTCATTCAGGGACTTAATCCGTTAATACGGAGATTGAATCCACCAACATTTACCTATAAAAATGGTGTCATTGGGTTGGTTCAAGGTGTTTTTCCCTTTCGGGAAACCTTGCATTTTTTGCCAGGATGTGTAAGGTTTTCTTGCAAAGTGTCCCTTTATCGAATTCTGGGAAGTTGGGGTTACGATAATTGCCACGACAATGAACATGGTGGAACTACCATGCTTCAAAATATGTGGACACTGACAAGGCATTCCTACAAAGCTAAAATTACTGTAGAGTTTCTACTTCATCAATTATTGCGAGAATTGGGAGTTCCATTTCAACCAACAAAATGGTGATATCATGTGTCATCAGAGCGCACGCAAGAAACAACCGCTGGAAGCTGGAAATGCATCTCTCCACCAATTAAAAATAGTGAAATTGCGTGGCCTACAATTGCAGTCCCGCTGCTATGATTTCTCTGCTTCCGACTATTCCTCTGCCTTTGGTCTTATTGTTATTGTACCCGTTGGACATCCATCAACAAATCCAGAAGGTTGCTGCTGTCGGGGCAAAACAAACACCTAATCTATTGGAAATGTATGGTTCCTACATGCCCAGCATAGGCATGCAGCATCTTTGGGACCTTCGGAGGGAAAAATCGGGCATCCCATCCCAAAATCCCAAAACAGTTGCCCTTTGTAATCGACTTGGGATGTGAAGAGCTACCCCAAAATGGGGGGATCATGGCGTTCGCCTACTCAACAGGTTCACCGGGTCCAGCTTACCCAACTCATCAAGGATTCGATTTTTGAACATGGTAAAGATGAAACTCAGAAGTCATATCTGGGGTCGTCCATGGTCATTCCAATCATAGTCCGGATCCCTACTTCTTATCCTCCAGTAACTAGCTGGGACATCCGCATGTTCCAAGGGGCAAAAACTCGCTGATCCGCCAGGTGGATTCACCCTAAAACCATCCATCTAAATCCAAATAGTGGTTAATAATGGTTTATTATTGTTAATAATGGTGATATGATAATTGATAATGGTGATTAATAAATCCATCTAAATCCCAAAGTTATTTATGGTGTATGGGGTCAATGGGGTCTCATACCTTTGAAATGACCATAAAATGCCAATTTTAAGGTAAATCCCCCATTTCCGGCCCCACCCCAAGGGATCCAAGGCTGCGCCTGTTCTTGTGAAGAAGGTGAAGACCTGAGCGCGATGCACTCAGAGATTTCGTCACCTTTTCAATGGGGTCGCATCAAAAGATGGACCACTAGGGTAGGTACTTCGAATCTGACTACATGGGAAATGTTCAATGGGAATATCATTGGGAATTCTCTGCTACAAGGTTGCCAGTTTAGGAAATTGATGAGTTTCTGGTGACCATTGAGAATCATCACACGTAAGCGTGCTCCACACATTTCGAAAAGGTTTGTGTTTGAACGTATTTCAGTGGCCACTCTGGGATCTTTCAATCTTACAATCAGCCCAAGACTTCCCAACTCAACCTGGATCCTTCGCTCGGGCCAATGATTTTGGTGGTAGAAATGCTGAAGACATGGCACAAAATCATCAATCCAGTACGGCCGAATATCTTGCGGCTGAGTGCCACATATTCCTCATGGAAATGGTTTACAAATACCTGTTCATCTACCCAAAATTAACATTGGATTGCCAAAATATCTGAATTTTCTGTCAGCTGCCTCAGTTTTTTTAAACTCAAAAAAAATACATCTACATCCACACCTACATCTACAATATACAGAGTTCCACGTGTGCGAATTCCTATCCTTGGTGGACATGGTGGACATCCACCTGGGTTCCCCGCGGCAAAAGCTGTCGGAGGCATCCACATCTTCACCCTGACAGGCTCCAGCGGGTTTAACCATGAAACATGGGGCATTTCTCGTAGAAAATGGTGCTTCAACATGGTTCAACCATGAAAAAAAAGGGGAGGCTGAAGGGCACACTCTGTGACGAAGCGAAAAGAGTTGTTTATGTTCCCACTTGTACCAGCACATTTTGTCCGTCCCCATGAGCCACTTTCTTGGTTTTATCTTGGTTTTATCTTGGTTTTATCCAAAAGCTTATCCAAAAGCCAAATGTCAAGCTATGGTCAAAAGGGGGAAACAGTGCCCATTGGCAGGACATCGCATCTTCGGAGTCCATGGTGTTTCCAGCGGCACGATATGATGCGCATGTTGGCCATCCCCCTTTACAGTAGATCCTTGCGGTTGGTTGGATCAATCGAACCAATGAAATATTTTTACTTGGTAAACTGGTAAACCCAATGAAACCTCGAATTGTGGATCGGCATTGTCACCATCCACTTCGAATGGGTCATTGGGAAACGGTTGCTGCTTTTTGGGTCAATCCCCACATGACCCTGTTTCCTGTTTCCCTTGAAGGTACACAGCACATCCCCAAAGTATCCATGAGTCACCTTCAAATAAGTACCACGTGGCCAGATATGGTTTCGTCATGGTTTGTCCAATATTAAGATGGCCAGTATCGCCAGAGGGCCTGTTTAATCATCAGACCCAGGCAGTTGCCACTCCCCAGTCCAGGTCGTCACCTCAGATAGCTCATAGTTCAATGCCCTGTCCACCAAATGCGCCGGTGGCGCCTCAATCCGGGAATCGGAACTGACGGTGGATATCTGGAGATCCCCGGGAATCCAACATTGCGAAACTCATTTGTGGATACCACATGAGGATGGTCAATTTTCAGGTATTACCAGGCCTGGTTGACTACCATTGTCTGGGCACAATTCTTTAGCAATATCTATGAATCGCATATCTATGCGCACCAGCTGAATGACTGACAGGTCTTACCAAAAATGGTGTATTTCTTCTGAACCATCCCATTAAAAGGTAGCGAATTTGGAACCATACCCATGTCCCCATGTATACATAATATATATATATATATACTCATATGTATATGTATGTATATGTGTATGTATATGTATATGTATATGTATATGTATATGTATATGTATATGTATGTAGACATGACTCTGGCTGAATCATATGATGTCGTGAACCTGAAGAATGGTCATTTGGGGTCCTTCGCCAGTTATATCCTCCCATCCACATTCCGCGGTGCTCTGATCAGAGAATTTGCCACTTTCATTGTTTGATACTCTCTATACGCTGTAGCATGTGGGGAATCTGTCAATATGTATATTCATTCAATAGTCATGTCAACTGTTAAGCCTATCCTCTGTATGTACCTAATTTTCACCGTGTGCTGTGGAAAATCTATATTGTTAAAAAAAGACATCATCAATGAATGCACCATTTTCCACAACTATGTTGAATTACCACAAGGTAACACTTTTTCATGATATCCACATTTCTGTCAATGACATCCGCCTATGTTGTTGGTTGCCCGCCACACCATTTCTTGTTTTTTGAATCCAGCATTTGTGTTGCTTGAAATGCCGTTTGTGCTGCCTCAATACCTCCTTTTGCGGCTGAAAATAAATCCACTGGCTTACTTTAGGACGCTAATTTTGGTGAAAAACATCTGTTAATCGATATATTGTGCATATATTATGTATATATATACACATAATTACACATAATGAAAATACCCCCAGCCCCCCTGGAATTTAATCGTTTGCGAACAGAAAGCCATTGCCCATGGCTGGTTCGATTGTCATTGTCAGAGGGGTATCATAAATAATGAGCATCTTGTTGTCCAAAAAAACACAATGTTCACATTTATATTCTCATTGTATTCTCATTACATCCCCCATGATCTTCCGCAATGGACCATTTTCAGGTTGGATTCCCTGATCCTCCAAGGTCCCAGCTGGCAAGTCGAAGCTACTTTGGAAGGTCTGGCAGGGTTGCAGCCGCAAAGAGCTTGGGCCACCAGATGGTTACGTCGTATTACGTTGCAATGGCTGGAAAATCACCCATGTTTTGTGGGAAATTCATCTAAAAAAAAATGGATGTGTTTGTGACGACTTCTCCCTTACTAGGCTAGATTACTGGAGAGTTAACAAGCTTTGCAAGTGAGATTATTGGGAAAAACAGATAAAAATGATATGATTACAGTGGCTGGCTCACGGGGACCTAGAATGATCCAGCGCGCGATAAGTCTACTACAAATGGAGCAATGTCACGGATATTTTAGTGCTGCTCTATTTGAGTTTCAAATATTCTGGCAGGGCTTCTTTCACCAAAAATGCGCGTCTCACATGAGTTGCGCCAAGTCACTTCTAAATCCGAAGAAAACATAAAACATCGCACAGAGTTTGGGTCTCCCAAGACCTTTCGAAAGAATCTCCAGTCTTAATTCGACCACCGAACTTGTTCAAAACATCAGATGAATCTGGGCTTCTCCGAAAATAGGGCAATCCCAGCTCCAATGGATACTCGTCATGTTTCCCATGAAAATTGCCCCATCCCTGGCAGCCGATCCCCCATGTCCAAAGAAATCCAAATATCATGGTGTTCAATAGCTATATTCAGTATGTATATGTATACTAGAATATCTACTGAATATTATATATATATCCAATAGAATGTCTATATATATATACCATCCATTCCATTGCTGTCCCTCTACATGCCCATAATCGACTCCATCGACCCCACATCCCCAAGCCCCGATTCCCAACCCCTACAAACTACCTCAGTACCAACTTACATTGTCACCAAGTGATCACTTATCTAAAATAGTTCAAAAGGAAAAAGCTATCAGATATTACCTTTGTGTATAATGTACATGTATTTACATAGTGAGTAACCAAAGTTCTCTTTATATTCTTATATCATATACATGTATATATATATACATATATCATATACATATAATGTAATTTGCCCGGTACTAGCCTGCAATTCCCATCCCTGCCCCCCGTTTTCCACGGCCACGTGCCTGGATACGCACCTTGCCGGCAAAGATCTGCAGCAGGGCATGGCACAGGGTGCAGCAGGAGATGCCCTGAATCCGCTGGGGCAATCCACCTGCGTTACGGTGGGGCCGGAGACCTCCAGGGGTCTGAAAAAGCAAATCTGTGGCATACCCTCTGGTAAACTAACATAACTATGGAAAATCACCATTTTTAATGGGAAAATCCACTATAAATGGATCAATACCTATGAAAATACCATTTGTTAGGGGAATGAACATCCATGTTAACCCAGCTATTTTGATGTGAACAAAAAAGGGGTACTACTGGTTTTGACACACTGCCATATCTGGGGTGAGATGGAAAATGCTTTGATGGCATATGTTTTTTGGGGGAGGAATTAAAATTCCTCATGATTGGGAGAAGCCAGGATGCAATATACTTCTCATGATTTCACCAACAATCAATGGGAAAGTAACTAAGACCAAATGGGATACAAACAAAATAAAACAAAACCATCTATCTGCAGGACTCGTAGCCGCTTCACCATGGGATCTCCCCAATGGGATATCCCGCCCTCACCAGGATAAGCTGTGTACCAGATCTTTTGAGGGTGTAAAGCAGAAAACATGAGGTTTGAGCCAACAAACATGAGGAATATCATGGAATATCACCAGTAATCGTGGAGATGATTGGGTTGCAGCTACAAGTACCAAATATTGAAGCAATTATTGGATGTTAAAAGTAGCCATATCATCCCTGGGGAACTAGGAGGTAAGTGGGGCTTTCTCGATTTGGGGATGTAACCAACCAACATGAGGATATCACGTGCGCCTCTCCTGAGCAGGACTTTGATGCTTGTGGATTTCCAATCCCTTTAAACGTGAGTAGAACTTTCTAGACATGTTGAGATACTCATCTACTGCGAATCCCAATTTGCCAATTCTCCATGGACTATCTACACTAATCTACACTAATCCACCATGGTTTTTACCCCTATCTATCTATCTATCTATCTATCTATCTATCTCTATCTCTATCTATATCTATATCTATATATATAATTTTATAGAGAGAGAGAGAGCTTGCCTATTGAATTCCATCATCATTTGGAGGTTTTCTGAAATGGTGGTACCACCAAATCATCCACTTTAATAGGATGTTCCATTCTGTTCCATCCGTTTTGGGGTATCCCCGTTTATGGAAACCCCATTTGGGTGATCTCCTCATGATCGCTGTTGCCTCCCAGCAGCTGGGACACCGAGATTCTCGACCTGCGACGGATGCGTGAATCAGTGAAGCTACCCTCTGGTGAACATACAAAAAGCAATGGAAAATGGCTATTTATAGTGGATTTTCCCATTAAGAATGGTGATTTTCCATTGCTATGTTAGTTCACCAGAGGCTACTTGAATGACTGGTAACTTTAGTATCTCCCAGTCCATATCCCAAACGCGTGCCATATGATCCACGAGAATTCTTCGAACCGTCTACACAGTTGACACACTCATCCCGAATTCCTCTCCCTGCAGCTCAGGTTTTACTTTCCAGGTCTCAAAGAGCATCTCCAAACGATTCGTGCATTCGCGCCTTTGGGGTGGCCGTTACAGTGGCGTCCAGCCCGAGGTTGGGCGCACCATAGGTGGCCCCCCCGGGATTCAAAATGTCGAAACGCCACCCGTGGGTCAAGTTGAAACCATCTGGGAGACGCTAAAAATCGCGCTTCTCAATGGGACGGACCAGAGGGTACCAAGACCCCGAAGAATCGAATCCGCTCTGCCCATTGAAAAACCGAGCGCTCCGCTGCCAAAGGTGACAGACTCACTTCTTCCCAGTGGCTTCCATTGCCTTCAGGGAAAAAAACCGGGCAGGCATTGAGTTTTCCGCAAACTCCACAACACAGCTTTTGACTTTCATTCGGCAAAATGAAGGAGTACCCTGAGTACCCCCAATTATCCAATGGATTCTCATCATTCGTCCGAAGCCCCACCTTCACCATTGTGGTTCCCAGCTCAGCTGGTGAGTTAGTGACCCAAACCTCGGGTGGCTGCGTAACTTCCATCTGGGTTGACCTTTTAAAACCAGCTATGGCTAAAGCGAAATTGGCATCAAATCATGGAGAAGAACATGATTAACCATTGGAGTTTGGAGCTATCCTATTTTATGGACAAATACACGTTGATTTCCTGCATGACTTCCTGCTTGACATCCCCACCTCGAAACAACAGCAAGTTCATATCTCTACTTCGAATTGCTTGATATTCCCACTTGATATCCCCGTTCTTGATGAAATGCGGATTCTTTGACCGGACCAAAGCCCAACCCAAAGATCTGGATGCTACCTGCGGTCAATCCATCTCTGAATCTGTTTGATGGTTTCCCACACATGAGGCATAGACATCTTGGCGATTTCTCTCAAGTCACGGAAAGAAAATCAGCACTGGGCAAGATGACATGGCGTCTTCCAAATCATCTGAAATGTTAAATCATGAAAATGAAAAATGACATCCGGAATGTTAAATGATGTTAAATGATGTTAAATGATGTAAGTGTATGTAAGTAACATATAGTAACATTCAACAACCACTGGGTTCCCCCTGCTCCGGCTTTCTCCAACGCCTGGATTTTGTCCTGGCACGGTTCCAGGGCACTTGGAAAATGTCAAGAAATCCTCTCTGTTCCCACCTCAGTTGGCTTCAATCCTCATTTTTCTTGCTCAAATCCAGGTGCATTTCTTGTGAATTCCCAGTTCTTGTTGATATATCTTAATGTTTGTTGCTTGCAACACCGGCTTGAGTCATGATTCCTTCTTGAACCCACATCTTTCCCGGTGAATCTCTGATTTGTTGTTGCTTGTCTAAGTTGTCAATCATCTTTCATTAAATCCCAGTGTTTGATTGTAAAACCATGTACAACAATTTTTACAGGTGAAATTCCGAATGTTCATGATCAAATCCCCCAGTCTAAACGGCTAAATCTCATTCTTTCTGCCTAAACCGCCCACTTTGCGGCTAAAACCTATTACATCGGCTAAAATCCTATTAAATCCCAGTAAAATCCAATAAAGTCCCACTCAAATCTTATAAAATCCCATTAAAATCCTATCAAGTCCCGCTATTGTCCCACTAAGATCCTGTAAAATCCCCATGAAATCCCCATGTTTTCCCCTCCCACGACCTGCGCCGTGCCCTTGCCACCGGAGATGATGGCGCCGGCGTGACCCATGCGGCGCCTGACGTCCCCGAGTGATTTCATGGGGGATGACATGGGGATTTCATGGGGGATTCCACTGGGGGGGGTTAATGGTGATCTTATGGTGTTTAATGGGATTCTATTACTATTTAATGGTGTTTTTTGTGATATTTACATTAAATTGTTAAATAGTGATTTCATGGGGGGGTTAATGGTGATCTTATGGGATTCTATGGGGTTTTATGAGATTTGAATGGGATATCAAGGGGATATTAATGGGATCTGATGATCTGATGGAGCTTTAATGAGGTTGAATGATGACTCCCTCATGGCTCCAGTTTTCAGCCCAGGCACCCAGGTGGGGCGGTGATGCCCGCAATGAAGGACACCACTGGCTTATGCTGGCAATTGGCCTGGCTCGCTTTCCGAGGAGATAGCCAAAAAAAAATGTCCAAAAATTAGATTCATGGCCCCACAGAAAAAATGGTTCGGAAAATGATAGAGAATCCATTGCGGGTTCCAAAAATTGAGGTCTGTTGATGTTTGTCCAAGAATTTTGTTTATGGGTCCTATACAAAAACAATTTTCGTTTGGAAACATGATGATAGTCCATTGGGGGTCCCAATCTATTGGTGCAACCAATGGGTGGTGATGTGGAGACCCTAAAGCTCATGGGGCTTGCCAATTTGGTATTGGGCTACACCTCTTAACTTAACCAGTGGTGGAACCCTATTTGAAGAGACCATAAAACACCGACATATTTGGACGATTTTGAGAATTCGCTTTATTGGGCTATATTCTTGCCTCACAAACGAAAATGGGAAAACTGTCTGATTTCCCAACAAATGTTGACAACAGTTCACCTGCAATAATTGTGGAGTTTTACTTGCAAAAGGCGGGATATTAGGCAGCAAGCGTTGGACAACAAGCAACAACGATGGAGATCATACTATTGAAAAAACAGCTGCAACTTGCGTAAACAAAAGGGCTACATGACCAACCAAGTCAAATGCAGATAAGAATAATGATATTAATGGTAATAATAATAATAACAATAATGATGATATTATTAATGGTATGGCAGTTTGGATGAACTGTGCGCATGGATCAATATGTTGACCATTTATATTAATTTATACCTGGCTTCAGGGCTTGAACTGTAGGGTAACAGTTCGGTGTGGAAAAACAACTATGTCTAGAGGATTTTCCCAGGGAAACCCATCGCTTTTCCACCTTGATCCAGTCGGCGGCTTCTTCCTCCGCACTGCCGCCAATCTCGCCGATCATGATGATACCTGACTGCCCGGGCCCGGGGCTGTAAGGGAGGGTACTATATAATATTATGTATATATATATATAATGGAGATATCATGGGAATATCATGGATGTAAGAATGGATATACTGTGGATACACAGACACACATCACACATCCTTTATAAATGGTTTGGAAAAAATAAGACATGAAAAACCAAACATTGGGCGGGTAGAAAATCATGGTCTGCTGTAAATGTTCCCTTGAATCAAACCATGGTTTTCTAGGTTTTCCAGGAGAAAAAGATGATATGTTTGGACCCTCTATGATGATGACCTCTACAGTTTGGGACTTCCATATGCCAGGTTCATCTTATGAGTTCTACATTTTCATGGCCATGATATCTGATGGTCGGGATAAGATGGCCATCCCATTTTGGATCCGCGGGACCTGCTGGGACCCAAAAAAGTCGGCCTTCAGTCTCTGGATCCGCGGCGAATTTCTCCAGGCAGTCAATGAAGTTGGTGCCTCAAGCTGGGGCGAGGAACCAAAGATTTTAAGGGGGATTTGACCAAGAACAATGGGGATGACCATATTGAGATGGGGGTTCAACATGCTTCAATCATCTATTTCATTTGAAAAGTCGGGGTCAGTGGGTTTTGTTTCAAACATAAACTAATGAAATTTCGTAGTCAATTATCGGGACAAATCCCACAGAAGAATGGCGGGTCGCTAAAGGATTCCCATCATCTATAGTTGGTTGGGGGGTTGGGGTCTTGTAAAAATCGTTTGCTGGTTCGTGAATATGTGAACTGCGGAATTTCCCGGTCAGTGAGAGTATGACTTGTGTTGTCCCCAACACGCTACGAGTACTGCAACAGTCACCTTCCCTTTCCACTGTCTGCTTGTGGGTCGGAAAATTTGTTCCAACTGTTGTAGCCAGAGGTTCTTTCCATCAGAGTACCGTGATTTTGCTGTAGTTCCGGATGTCATGATTACACCAATTTACGTAGCTATTAACGGATACCAAATGACCATCAAATGTTCCAAAGAATAGATACACCCACGAAGATTTAAAATGAAAGCCTAAGATTACCATATAAAACATGAAGCTCGATTTTGGGCGGAAATATGGCATTTTCTTGCGGGCATATTCAGTTTGTCCCATTCACGTGGAAAAGGCCCAAAAACTCCGAGGGAATATGCGGCAAGAAAGTACCTCTTGAAACTACCCAGATTTCCCATTTGGCACATCAACTGACTGGAGGATGTCCCACAAATAGCCAATACAAATGAGGATCATTCATAAACAATGGTGGGAAGGTGAAGGAACCATGGTTGTTATACTATATGTGTGTACATGCAGTCCCAGCAACCGCAGATTCGCAACAAAATCGTATGTCCAATGTATTTGTGCAAGGTTCCCACAACGGTCCCAATCGAGTCATGAGGCAGCCTGCTTGATATGACCATGTTTTGATTGTGTAGCTTAAATCATCATTCTTTTTGTGACTTGCATCTCTGTAATCATTTCTAGTGCATCCAGTGCATCCCCATCATTGGATCATCGTGTATTTCAAAGATTCCCAGATATTCCCAGTGTTTTGAATCTCTCCCAGTCTCTCCCATAAAAGCCTCCAGATTTCCAGGTCATCCCAGTACGGTGAATAGCCGGGCCACCGTTGAAGGGGTCACCGCCAATGCCCACACAAGTGCTCTGCCCCATTCCCGTTACGGTGGTCTGGTGGACTGCCTGGCAACTGATGAGGCCAACGAAGAGAAAGGAGTTCATCAGCAAAGGATGTACAAAATGGGGATTTGCCATAAAAAGTGGTCCAATACAAGGATTTAGTCATCAAAAACATGTCAAGAATGGGGGTTGAACCATCAATAGTTTGTCAAGAATCAAGATTTAAGTTTCAACTCTCAATCATTGTCCGAAATGGGGATTTGACCATGAAAGTTGCCCAAATTGTGGATTTCATCAATCCGCGTTACTTTTTACTGAAAAATAAGGACCTGGTCATGCTGGTGGCGACTGACAAAGCGGAGCAATCCCCCACTGCCACTCCGCGAGCCCGCCTCGTAGGTCAAAGTACCGGACCTAGCGGGAAGAAGGGGCACCTATGGACCCTACCAACTGGGGAATGTTTTGTCATGTATAGCATGAAATCGTGCATTTTCGGTGCGGGTCAAGATGCTCGACTTTCAGAAACTCAAGACATCTCAAGAGATACCACGTCCTGCATGCAGAAATCGAGGCGTCATGTCAACCCAAAACAGTCGACCGGGCAGCGTTTTCGCCTGCTGACAATGCCGATCTTGCCTGCCTTGTGGATGTATCCTTGGCACGCATCGGTAGTGCGAGGCACCCGTCACTTGGTCTGGTGGTTTTGAATATCAGCGCGTCCAACTTTCATCCCTGACGCGGTGGTATGTAGTAAGTAGTTTTGACCAATTGTCGCATGTAACCTGCTAGCACATCTACATACCCACATACCCTGCAAGCAACGTGCCTATGTGCAAAGCCCAAAACTCATTCTGGGACCTTCATGGCCTTCACTAGCCAAGTTGGATCAAAACACAAGTTTGGTCTTTTGGATATTTGGAAAAAGAATGTGAATCATCTGACCCTGCAACCTGGGTCTTGAGTAGTCGATACCCCTCCTTTTCTCAATTTTCTGCTGCTGGATATCCCACGTTGATATCTTTCACACCCGATTTGGCTTTTTATCCCTGTATTGGTTTTTCCCCAACAATTTGCCAGAATACATGATTTGGGGGAGCTTCATTTTCCCAACCTGGGGTCAGAGGTAGTGATGGTTGTTAGTATATATATATATATAGTCTTATATACTCATATCATTGTTGGCATCACTATCTTTCTCATGATATTCCATCTAATGTATGACAACAATTGACAACATATCTATATCATCATCATAATATATCATCTAGGTATAATAATATGGATTGGTGAAGGGTCAATCGTTTTTGCTCTGGCCCTCTGGCCGCGGCCTGGCATGATGCCCATCTTGCACTCGCCCGGCTTGATGATGCCCGGACAGTTGGGACCTGGTAACCGAGGAGCTTTGGTCAAAATGACCTGGCATTTCGATGGAAATCTGACGTCAAACTGTGGATGTTACCATCAAATATGCGAATAAATGGGAATAAACAATTTGGTAAACATGGGACATGGGAGCCATCTTTGAGAATATGTTGAGATTGATTGAGATATATAGCTAACATTTCGTAACGTTACCTCACCAACAAAAAGTCTTCCTTGGTGGGATTCGCACAGATAAAAAGAGGTTGCTAGAAAAAAGAGGTTGCTGTTGGTTGCTGTTGGTCGTCGTGGTCATATCTCACGACCGAATTGGTTACCCAAAAAGAAACCCATGTTCGATGATCTGTCTGAGTTTAGGGGTACCACCGGCTGGGATTTCTTGCCAATCAGGCGAGACTTGGTCTGACGCATCAGCGCGTGTTTCACCTTCACCATGTCCTGAAGCAAAGACTCAAATCGGGCATGGTGAAGGAACAAAGACTCAAATCCCACCATTTGAAGATGATTTTCCTGGGGAAGCCCTCAAAATTTCGGATCTGGGGATATAACAAACTGCGGTAACCCTCCGAGGACGGGAACCATTTTGAAACCCTTATTGTTGTTGGCTGTATCATCATGTGTTGCTACAATCCCCTCTTTGCTATATCCTGGTTATATATCCTTGTGTCTTGTTGGTGCGATCTTCTTGTTGTACATCCCCTTGTTTGCTGCTAAAACCCAATTTGTGCGATGTAACATTGCACTGGAAAAAAAAAAAACACTTGAATTAGAACATCGCGGTTAGAATGCAGATTATACAGCAAGCTGATCTTACCAGAGGGAACCACCGGTTGTCAATGCATCCACTAGCTATCAGGATGCAATCTTCGAAAAGAGGAAGGGGAATACGTCACCATCAAACAACTTCAGTCTGCTACGAAGTCGTTGGATGTTGAAATTTATTGATGCCACGCAAAATCAGGCGCCCTAACTGCCAAGTGTGTCCAAATGGGTCTGTGTCAGCTTCAGCTACTACACTGCCTGGGGCAGTCCGTTGAGCAAAGATGGAGAATGAAATGTTTGAAACCTCGGAATATTGTCCTATTTCGCTTAGCCGTTGAATAGAACCATCCCCCAAAACGTCCGAGAAAGAGTCAACTTCAAGAAACATTTCAGTGTAAGTTGGGTATCGCTCAAAGTGTACCTCAAAAAAATGGTGTCTTCAACAGCTTCAACACGCACTCCAAAAATTGCCTGAGTCAATTCACCAGCCCAATTTCGAGCCACTTAGAGACGTAGAGCATCCCCAGGGTCCTGCTGAGGAATACCCTCTGTGATGCACACGATCAATGGGATTTCCGCCTTCATCCGCAGATGCTGTAGGTTTGTTGATAGTTTGGAAAATGAAAGGAGTGTGAAGTGTGAAGGTGAAAGTAATACACTTCCTACAGACAAAGATCCGTCAATCATCCAAACAGCCATGGATCAAGCAAGAATGCTTCAAAACGAAAAAATGGCCCCTACTCATCTGCCCTGCATGTGGGGAAGGGTCAAAAATTCACGTTTCCCAACACCACGGTGTTATTCATTGTTGATATTGACAATCCATAGTTCGGGTAACTCGATTTTGCCCCACACTGCTTTTGGTGAAATCATGCTATATCCTCACTTAAATCCATACTTGCGGTGGTTCAATCCGAATTTGTGATGCTTAAATCTGCATTTTTTGTTGAAAAAGTTTAAACCCTTTTCTTTGGTCAAATATGTTTTGACAAATCACAACACCAGTTTGACCCGACCCATCCCCATATCTCTGTAAGAGTCCTCTCATTTTTTGTCTTGTATCTGAGGTTGAATATCTCCCCAATGACAAAAACTCACCATGCGACCAACAAACATGGGACAAATTATTACATACGATATTCTATATTGCATATGTATTGTGTATGTATGCAATCATACATGTATTTATATATATATATATTATACATATTATGTATATCCATGTACATAATATGTATATGCATGTATATTCTCATATTGTACTTGATATATTACTATATTATCCATGGTCAAAAAGTTGGGTAAATTGCCCCCCTTTACGGCGCGCCTCTAAGGCCTCCAACACGGCGGCGGCGGCCGCCGGTGGCGGCACATAGATCACCGAGGCGTCGCAACTGGGTGCAACCAAGGCATAAAAGGTGTATAATCAAAGTCTGATTCGATAGAAGACTACAGTGTATATATATATGTGTATACATATATATATATATGTATATATATGTATATATAGATGTATATATTGAAATATATATATATATATTGATATATATATATATATTGATATATATATATTGATATATATTGATATATATATATATTGATATATATATATTGATATACCATCCCCTGACATATTCTATGCAAAGAGATGATCGGATATGAATGGATATCAACGTAGGTGTATGTATACAAACCAACATTCGGATATGGGATATGGGTCTAACGCCAACCAGAAGGGTGTTGTTTTTATCTATGTTTAACTATTTATGGCCATAGAATAACGAAGCAGAAAAATAAGGATTTGAAGGTAGAATAGGAAGATAATTCATGAATGCGGGCCGGGGGGTACAAAACCAGCTTTTTTGTTATTAAGATATAATGGGGATATCAAAGGATATGAGGAAACATACCCATTATATATAGCGTTCATGGGCCTGCATGGATTTTTCATCATGGACCTACGACAAGACTCGACACTCGGACATTGTTGGCCAGGAAAAAATAACAACGTTGAAACTAGCCAGCAAAATGTGGATTTGATGAACAAAAAAATGAACAAAATTGAAACTTACCTGCCAAATTAGGGAACTCTTGAAATAATGAAACAAAAAGGAGAATTTAGCCAACAAACATGACACTTGTAGGGAAGTTTTCCAAGAAAACAACAGCATGTCCCTCCAAGAGTTTGGCTGGTGCATTTTGGGTCTCTGGTACTCTGCGAGCTTGATTTCTGAGCAAGTGTGTGTTTTGTGCGGCTTGCCAGAACTGTGGGAAGCCGTCGGGTATCCTATATAAATCCATATGATATATAATATTCTCAAGGTTGATTCAGGTTGATCATCATTTTTCCCCCCAAAGGGCCATAACTTGCGCTCCTTTCCATGGACAAAGCCACATGATTCACATGATCGATGGCACCAAGCCTGTTCCGGAGATTATACCAAGGCTGCAAGCTGGTTGTCCCATCCCATTTGGAATGTTGGATTTCCTTGTAAATTAGCCAAGTTTTACGCATGTTAAGCTTTAATAACTTCCATGTATCATCCAGTGTTGATTTTTTTTAGCCCGTGCCCGTTGGGCTCCCAGGCTTTGTTTCCTTTTTCGCCTCCATGCAGTTGGCGAAGATGGGAAGATCTCAGTGCAGCCGTGGGGTAAGACTGTTCAGTTTATGGGTAAATGGTATAACTATAAATGGGTATAGTAAACTAATAACAAATGGTATAGTTCAGTCATGCTCAAAACACCATTCGTTTATGGGTAAATCAACTATTGCTATGGCCATGTTCAATAGCAAACTGTTAGTTTACCAGAGGGTAATACTCTTTCAGTGACCAAAATCCGAAATCCTCTTGGTCATAGATGTTGACCCGTGGCCATGTCTCTTTCCAGCGTCAAGGGTGAGAAGCCCAGAAACCTGAAGGATTCCCACTTTTGTGCAATCAATTCAAGAACTAATTAAATTTCATCTACTACGAGAGACCAAAGGCATCGAAACCTTGACCCCTCAATATGCATCCATCAATGAGGAGTGACCATCTGAAGTAGGAATGGGTAGATTTCTGGCGTGGCTTACAACCATGCTTCTCAACCAATTCTTCCCATCGCTTTCACTCACGAAATCACCCCTTAGTGTTTCGAACCATCCCGTTTTTCGCTGAAATGCATATTCTTTGTTTGGGGCATCAAACTCTTGTAACTCAAAACATCTCAAAACCCAACATGTGTGGCCCCAAATTGGCTGAAGGTACTTTTGGTTGATGATCACCCCCCTGGTTGATCACCAAGCCATCCAACAACCGGAGCTCCGGACCCATGTGCTTCGTACCGCCCTGGTAGCTGGGATGATATTTGGAAGGAAAATCTAATTTTTACATATGCCATGTGTATGCGTGATGCTGGGTATGGTCATCCATCCCAATATAGGCAATCTACCCAGTTTTCTGACCGTGGCACATGATTTCGAACTGGGTTCCAAATTTGTGCTTTCTGTGTTATTGGATTTGTTTAATTTTTGAAGGTCAGTGGCTTCTGACACACCATTTTCAGGTTCAACACTAGCCTCTAAACAATCTGCGATCTGTCGGTCAATGGTAAATATCCCGTTTCAACTGGGAAGATCTTGGGATAAAGGCCGTCCAACTGTTGAAGATTTGCATGTGTGCAAGGATGGTCTTGAAAGCCCCTAAACTGCAATGTTAGAGGGGGAAACGACGTTTCATCTTAGACATACATCTGAAGGTTTCCTGAAATAGGGGTACCCCCTTGCATCATCCATTTATAGATGGATTTTCCATGAAATAAACCATCTAGCTATTGGGGTACCCCCATGACTATGGAAACCCCACCGCATCACCACTCTCCCCGCCTTCTTGCTGTTCACACCACCCACCATCTTGGTGCCGTACTCAATGGCCTGGTCCAATCGGATTCGATGCAGGTTTTGAACATCTGAAAATATGGTTAGAATAAGTAGAATAGATTATTGTCATAGTAATATAGAACTAGTTGTTTATCCATAATTTATTTACAACAGTACTAATTACTAAGTCAGTATTATGATTTGGTTTACACGGTTCAAGCTCGTGCTTTTGGATCGTCATGAAGCCATGCTTCTTGAAACCCAAAAAACCTTCCACGCACACCCGCGCCTGGGTGGTGTGGAAAGTGCCCTGCCTACCGGTCATGCCCTGGCAAATGACCTTGGTGTCCTTATTGATCCATACCTGGAGGTGGTACTGCTGAGCGGATCAAACATGTCTTTCTCGGGCGTGTCCCAAGTAACCCATTCCATCCCAAGGTTCGATCGGAAAAAACATGACCCCCATGGATTTTGGAAGCCACTTTGGAGCCCAAAAAGCTGAAGCCGGAGGTTTCCATCCAGTCATGGGGGATCCCCAGTCGTCACCATGGCTTAACCAATACCTAGTAGGTCATGGTCATCCATGAGTTAAATTCAATGGTCATCATGAATTGGATGATTTGGATGACTGGATATACCCCCATTTAATCGATGATTTAAACCCACTAAATGGTTCAATCCCCTATGATTGGTGGATACCCCCATGACTGGATGGAAACCTCCGTATTTTCACATCGCACCTTGGCGGTGGAGGAGTGGCGCACGGCGCCCGCCAACTGCCTGACGCACAGTCAGGCTTTGACGGATGGATTTTCCAGGGAAAAAATAGAGGAAAGCCTCGTGTTGTCCATATATTTTACCGAAGAATTATAAAATCTCAATTCTTCCAAAACATTCTTTGACTGGTTACCTGAGAATTCTCCCTCAAATCAAATCCATACCGCGAAGCAAATGGATGGATGGTTGTGGTGGTGGTTGTAGGGGCAACCCTCGATGTTTGACTGGTTGCACGTCCCCTCAGCCACCATCATGTTGAGATCAAATTCACAAAAAAAAATACGTGGGTCAAATCCTCATGTGGTTACGCTTTGCTAATTCAACACATGGAAATGGAAATTACGCATAAACGTAGATGATTTACATATGAAACATTGCCACTTTTCATGGCTTTGTTGGATTACAAGAGGATCCGGGCAGTGCACCAGGAATTAGACCAAAATCTGATGCTGCCAGCCCGGCCTGGTTGACAACTTCCCGAAGAGGCGCTGCCTCGGGATTTCAGGGAAATGGAGCTGCTTACCGCCCAAGGCTGGACCCAAACAATGCTTGAATAGACTCTGAATAGACGTGGATATAGACATGAATAAAAGGTACGGTAATAGTCATAGGTATGGGCATGGGTATGGATTGGATATGCGTGCAATATGTTTTGTAGATACGCAGAGATTAGAGTTCTCCTGACTGAAATGATATGGAATAAGCCCATCAACTCTGAAAGGCCAATCTTGACCAACCATGCCTATGGCAAGGGATCACTTCTATGATCGAGAGCGAAACTATTTCTAGAATGATGGGCCCCTACCAGTTCAAACTAGGATTCTGAAACGATTTTCACAGGTAGATCACCTCATAACTCGGAACTCCCTGACCCAAAAGTTGCTGTTTTTGGGCCCACAATAGCTGGAGAAAGTTTCCCCAGGGGCCCGCACATGCCGGCAAAGAACGGGCCGTTTCACTTGCTTTTTGCAGCTCCGGTCAGCTCGGGCAGTGTCTTTGAGCCCAGGCAGAGGCCATTGAATCTGTTGCATGCTGTTGTGGGTATCGTTCTACGGTCTAGAACAGGATATACCCTCCCCATGGCCATTTTCCTAGGGAAAATGATGATTCACCAGTAAATTTTGCGGTACCCTATTTTCAGAAGGAAAAAAACACACCGTCTGAGACAATGCTCGAGACAATTTGGCGTTCCATCACCTACTCTCCGATGAGGCTCCCAGTAAAGCCTGTTGCAGCTGATTCAGATCATGGGTAAAACATGGTAAAACGGGGTCGCAAAAAATGGAATGTTATGCTAAATCTTGCTAAACAGCCACAATGAGTGGTTCCGGAGGCCTCAAATTCTGTCGATCTCTGCGAATTGGCTGGTTTCGGCCATTCGTTCTTGAATCCCGTCATTAAATGATTAAATTGAATCCCCATCTCAAATCAGTAAGTCGCATTTTTTGCTGGTTATTTACGGGTATGCTGAACACCAGGATAAATTGTATGCATTCTGGGTAGTGATCATGTCAGCTTTGTCCGATTTCCTGGTGCCCCTTTGCCTGGCTTTTCTGGGCGATTTGGACCGATCCCTGGCCATCTGGAATCATGGGATTTGAACCATCAAGAATGCTGTTTTCACCATGACAAATAAGGGAAGTTAACCATATCCAAGCATGGTTACGGGGTCTAGCCTGCAAACATTCAGTACCAGCCAAACTAAAATACAGGAGGGTGTATCCCAGATCTGTCCCATGTTTCTTGGTTTATCACACCCATGTCTGCTGGTGAAACGCACACGTTTGGGGGGGGCATTGGTCAAAATGGGGAACCCCAAATGGACGGTTGCTGTAACCCAACATGACCAGAATCTCCAAGAGAGGGGTCGTGTGGGTCGTTGACCCGTTGACCCATAAATCACCATTCCCAGGATCCCATAGGCACGTTGACCCCCCTACAATTAGTTGCATCCCTATGTTGGTTGGTCTTCAACCCCATCTTTATTGCTTCAGTTTCATTTAGGTGCAAAACCCCGAGTACATTACCAATTTTGAACCCTGTGTAACAAAACCTTGGCACCTTGGTGAACATCAAAATGGTTGGGAGATTCATGGGTATTCATCCCCTCAAATCTCTTAGGTTGCATATTTAGTTTTGTAGGTTTTGAATTTATCGCCAGGCCTGGGTCGAAATTATCTCACTGCCCAAAAATGGATGACTCCTGAATGACCAGCCTTTTTTCTGGTCAATTTCGACTCTTTGACCCGTCCCCAGTTGGTCAAATCATTCCCAACAGCCTAGAACTGGGCACTGGCAGCTGCGGCGGCGGCGTGGGCCCCGCCGACACGGCCACCGGCGCAACCGCCGCCTGCGCCGGCGCAGGCTGCACCGGAGCCGGAGCCGCGTCCTGCCAACGGTGGTTTCGGTGGTTCACCTCTGGGAATTCAACAGTTTGCTGTGGAAAGTCGCCATCAAAAAGCTAGATCATCTCTGTATAATGAGAGGGCCACTCTATATGGCAACGTTCAATTGCCAGACGGTACCTGAGATAAACAGACAAAAAATGGATCGAAGCAACAAGTGGCTGTTTCACCAGTATAGAAATGGGACTAAAAATGTAGACTACCAGCAATTGAAACTCAAACAACAAACAAAAATGTGGAAGAAGAATAGTTGGCATACAACATTCTAAAGTCGTGTCTAGAGCCAAAATAGATGAGTCTTATATATTCTTATATTACATATATGGGATGGCCCTGGCTGGGACTTCCGAACCAGGCATATCATCTTCTATTGATTCCTGGCATGGTCTCCCAAGACCAACACCCTGCAAAAGATCAAGCTGGAATCCCAAAAACAGGTTTCCAAGTAGCAAGTCACCTTCAGTCTTCCAAGTTCATTTTCTTGGGGGTCCATCGTAGGCATTGTTCACGAATTGGGTACCCCAAAATGCAATGGTCAATCGTATTTTTCCCTTCATGTTGCTGGTGAAATCGCATTGCCAACATCCTCATGTTGGTTGGTTAAAAATATGGCTATGGATCAATACCTATACATACCATTTTTAGTGGGATGAACATCCATTTACCAGCTATTTTGATGTTGACCCATATAGAACTGTCTCCACCCATCTCCCTTTCATGGGTCAAGATCCCCAGCCAAATGGAGAATTGTTATTGCTCGTATATGGTGATGATCATTAATGGCTATTAATGTATCTGTATATAATTAATGGCTATTGTGATCATCATTAATGGCTATTCTTAATGATCATTGTTATCATTAAATAATGAATGGTCAGGTCATCCCATCCCACAGACCACCTTGCTTTCAGTGGGAGCGGTGACCTGGCTCTGCTGTTCCCCAAGTGGTTTTGATCCAAGAAATGGGGAGAATAAGCTGCGGAAAAAAAAGAAACGGAGATTGATCTGACTGATTGAACCTTTTCCTAAACTAAAAATCTAGGAAGATTTGAGGCTAATTCTTCCAAAGGCCATGGTCAAAAGACCCGCGACAGGAATGGTAATGGATAGTACGGGTTTTCCTGAAACTTTGGCTCCCAGCAAACCAAAGGGTGGAACGCATCAAATTGGGACCTCTATGGTTCCTACAGCCTCATGTTCCCCATGGCCTTCACTGCAGCACCGGGCACCAGCATCTGTGGCAGTTGATGGGAACTGTCAACCACGGACTAACAACCCCTGGCTGATCACAAAATCATAGTCGGTTTCTGCAATGAAAGAGGTTGCTCAAGGCCAAAATTACAATCGGTGTAGCAATGGAAATAGAACTATATAGTAATATAGTACTTAGTGCGATTCGTTCTGGTACGCCAACAAACCATAATCATTGTGTCCAATTGTCATGATCCCCCCAACGATACCAGCAAATTCAATCAGGATGGTATATGAGTGGCATACGCCCAGTTTTCGAATGATTTTCAATATTATCTGGCAACTTTTCTGTTTCAGAGATTGCCAGTGTTGGGCTTGGTCTCGCTGCAGTTCATGTTCCGGTTCTTATACTTGCTGCAGGTGGCAAATCACATAGCAGGGTTTGTTGCAGCAATTGACGACGGACAAGAAAAGCATGGGAGCCAAGTTGGGTAAGTGCAAAATATTTGGCAAAACTTGAGAATTTCATGACTCAAATTCTATACTACGGAAACGGTAGATACGGATAGGACACCACACACGTTGACACCAAGCGTCGCTTGTGACATCAGCTTGGAGAAGTCAAAGGATCCGGTCACATCTTCCGCTTAGCACAAATGGGTCTGTTACCAAATAGTTTAAACAAATAGTTGTACAAAATTTAATTAATCACCATTTGATTTGATGGGTATTAAGGTATTAATTTATACTCATACTGATGGGTCTTCAAAATCCAATACCTCACCATTTGCTCTGCTGCTTGTAGGGATTCCCCTTGGGTTGTCATCAATGTTGCTGGCCCTGCAGCCCGACACCTGTGTGGGCATGAATGCCTGCCGCGGGGTAGACCTTCCTGGCTCGCTAGGTCGGCATGTTAGACGTGCAGTCCCCCTGGACGGTGGATATATGTTGCACTGCAAATCCCCTGCACTTCCAGGGGCAAGGCTTGGATTTCCTGTTAGAGAAGACAAAAGAGGAAGCTCTCTGCCCGGTTGCGACCCCACATGTTGGTGTTTTTCACACGAAAGTATCCAACTTCTTGGGGATCTATGACTGTTGACCATTTGAAGACCAGCTCGATATTTCATGGAAATCCTCAAAACCAATTCCAAGATATCAATTATCTGCCAAGAACCATAAAGTGCCAGGGGCTCAAATCGAAACCAAGCCTGATCATGTTTTGGACGAAAGCTTTGGATGTCCGCATGGCGGTAGCAAAACTGAGGTGGTTCCGGGCCACCCAAGTTTTGTAGAGGGAAAAAAGGATCCCTGGGATCATGCAATCATTTGGTTGATACCTGAACTGCCACTCATTTTGGCAAAGCTTGAAAGGGACCAAGGGGACCCATAGGTTTGGCCATGGTCAGGACTGAACCCACTAATTTTGCTGGAAATCCCAGTTTTCATGGTTTATACCAGAAGACCCAGGAGTTTGGTTCTTTTTTGATCCCTTATGTGTGAGGTGTTTGGTTTTTTTTCCAGTGTACCCATTTTTTGCTGGTTGAATCCACATAATGTGACTGAAACTCCCGGTTTTTCTCAGCAAAAACCCCAAAGTCCTGAGGAAGACGTCAAGGTAGGGCTCACCTGGAGGCAAGGGAAGCCCCACAGCAACACATGGATGAAGCCACTTATATGATGATGGTTACATGGGTTGTTATTATACATCTGGTGCTATGTAATGTAAGGTATTCTAACCTAATCCAATCTAATCTAATCCAATCTAATCTAATCTATGTACGTACGTACGTACGTACGTACTTGTATGTATGTATGATGTCATTGTTTCAATGTCTAGAACATGATGAGATGTTTTACCTTTTTTTACTGCGGATGTGTACTGCAGGTCTAGGAGGCCAGCGTAAAGTGTTGGGCAGTGCAACTTTTCGGGCCAGAGGACACATTTTTCATCGACCTTCCCACGCTGTTTTCAGCAGGTCCCGCAATTCAAGAACAGTGACCCCAAAGAATCTTCGGGTAAATCACCATTTTCAATGGGTAAATCCACTATAAATGGCCATTTTATGCCATTTTCAATAGCTATGTTAAATTACCACCATGCATCGCCCAACACCCTGCCACCCTGTGCAAACCGAAGCACAAAGACTGGTGGGCCAGTCGCCGCCAGGCCAGGCGTGGGGACACTGGTGGCTGGGGTGTAGATTCGCACCTGCGAATAACCGAGAATAGCAAGGCCGCAACACAGGCGAGTTGGAGCCAGAAGAATGCAGGGATCTAAACTGGGCACAATTTGGGGATCAATACCAGTGAAATTTCAGCATCTTTGGTTGAAGATCTTGGGATCAACATGGATCAACCATCTACCGAAATGGTAAAGCAATGATGTTGTCTGCCGCTATCAACCGTGAAATAGTGAAATTGTATGGTTCCTAATTGCGACCAAGACATACAGATGCAAATATATATATATATATATATACAGTATCTATATATACATACTGGTATATTGTATCATGTAATATCATATCATATTACATTATATCACGGTATATCACATGGCATAATATGCACATGATTATGTATGTATGACTATGATTGACTATGTATGTATGTTTTTGCCGACATTTTACACAAACGCAACACAGGTCCTGCCTCGGGGGACGGCAGCGAGCCTGGCCAGGGTGCGTGAAGCTTAGCGGCGCGTTGAGTCAACTCGTTTCAGGGCACATAGGCCCGGTGTCCACTACGAAAAATTGCTAAACCAACCGAAAAAAAAATGATTTCAACCAGCAAATATGAGACTTTTGGAGCAAAAATTAGGAAATTCACTCAGTTCGGAACCATCAGGAATTGGGAGATGAGGATTGAAGTATAGAAAAACGGGGAGAGAAGCAGCAAGCAGCACAGTGATGAGCAAGGTTTGAGCAACAATCTTGCATGTGGAAAAATCATCGAGAAGCGCCCGAATTTCCGAGCGTGTGTGATGACTAGCAAGTACAATTTGGATGTTCCCCCACACACTGACAGTCACTATTATGTAATTGCTCACTCTTACTGGGTTGGGGTGCTAGAAGATGAGTTCAAAACCTCAATGGCCTTTGACAGAATTGAAACCATTGCCAAAGTTGTGGACACAGTGTCCAAGCCAATGCAAATCCACAGTTGTTTGGGTGACCATCCTAATTAGCCTCTGGCTAGTCACTGAGTTCCGTGGTTTTTCTCACCAAGGACAGCAACCATATATTTATATATAGTGTATATATATATATCTTGTTTACTTCTTGGCAAATATAATCTGCGTTGTTGTCCCTCGTTCCAGCACTCTCGTGGGGGTCCAGTGGCCGGCATCACCTCCACGTTGCAAGGGCAGCTGCGCCATTGCCGTTTGGCTTCATCAAACGGGGCCGCTCCAGCTCCCTAAAACCACTACTTGGATGAAAGCTGATGCTACTTGGATCATCCCATTGGCGAAAAAAAACATGGCAAGCCAGGTGTGAACAGCATGACAGCATGACAACAGAAGGCAGGGTCCCTTGACGCTGAATCTGCACTTTATTTAAGAATTTGAAGTCGTGATCCTGTGGAGCTTCTGTAGCTCATGGCTAAAAAAGTACTGGTTGTCAGCATACACCTTTTTTCTCACCTCACAAAAAATATGTCTCGAACAAAAGTTGACAGGTGGTGAGGAGCGCGCAAGGACAACATCCACCCAGGCCGGTCCAAGATTTGGTTGCAGTCCAAGGGCTCATCATCGGCGTACTTTCTTACAAACAATTCTAGAATTGCTCCAACACCTGCCTAGAAGCCTAGAATGGCCAGTGGACCTTCATGAAACCATCCAGAATTGCTCCTTCTCGTAATAATTATCAATCCATTACTGCAACCGGTTCCCCGGTTCCACAATTTGGACAAAGCTCAAGGGGAACAGCCTTTGCTGCCGTCCATCTCCCATAATGGGTAAACACTGTAAACACCAAGCACATTGTCCCAACCATTTTGTCATTTGCTCATGTCTCATGCATCACCGCCATACCCCACCCATTCCACAACCATCGGCCCATGCGTGGTTGATGCCACGGCGGATGCCACAGCAGATGCCGCGGCCGTCCTCGGTGTTCCCGAAGATGATGGGTTCCACAAAGTTGGCGATGTTGAAATGTAGCAGGAACTGCGCCGCAAACGCCATCATCACCTGGCGGCAATGATGGCGATGCAACCCCCTCCAAGACCCAGAGATTGAACGAGACAGTCACTGGTGATGGGAATTGTTGTTTATCGTTATATAATACGAGAGTAATGACTATGGTCATCATCATCATCATCATCATCATCATCATCATCATCATCATCAGTCATCATCATCAGTCATCATCATCATCATCATCATCATCATCATCATCATCATCATCATCATCATGATATTATTGGTTCTATCGTTGCGATACATTGTCATTATTGTAGCCATGCGTATTTTGATTATGATCAAGGCAGCAGAGGATAGAAGTGTGCGCCTCCCATGGAAGTTCTTTCTTTGCCATGCTCTGCACATGCACCAGCCAGGTGGCTGACCCTTGTCTAAAGCAAGGCTCAAAATTTAAGGTCCTGGGACCAAAGCCACAGATATTGTGTTCCACTTCTTGGGATTTCAATGGGGTTTAAGGGATACGCAATGACCCACCAACAACCATCCGGCGATTTCAGAGGGTATTCAATGGGATGCATCAACGCTTTATGAGAAGACCCACCTGGTAGAGCGATTTTCGCTCGTCCAGGATGGAAATGAGGCAGGGCACGATCGAGATCACCTCAAAGTTGCGACATCCACATGTAATATTCAAAAGTGTGTCAGCGTCCTCAGAACTTTATGAATTCCATAGAGGTACGTGCACATGTACTTTTACAAACATACATACATATATTGCATGTACAAACATACGTCGTGTAATTTAAATGCAAATGTAAAGGTAACCGCAAATGTAAATGTAAATGTAATGTGTACTGTACTGTGCGTAGATATTTATATATATATATATATTATTTATATATATATACATATACATACATATACATATACATACATATACATATACATACATACATACATATTATATATATATATATACATATATATATATATACATATTTATATATATATATATTTACATATACATATATATATATATCTTGAATGCTTCTGCAGTTCCTGTGTGCCAAGCCCCAGCGCTTTCCATTTTCAGGGGCTTCCAGCAGGGCCGCCGATGTTCGGAATGAAGTTGGCCAGAAAGGTGAGCAACCCCCAGGCGGCAGGCAGCTCCTGCCACGATTAGCAAGACCTTAATGGGTGATGAATGGGTTATGATTATTTATAGGTTATTAATGGTGATGGATTATTGATGGTGATTAGTGGGTTACTAATGAGTTCTTCGTGGGAATAGTATAGTTGGGATGTAATTGGGATCTAAAGAATGCTTATATAACTAACAATATGATATGGATTGGGGTGGAAAATCTCCAGTACGAGTTCAAGAGCCCCCAAATTGGCTGGCCTTTCCTGCAGTTTTCCCTTACAATAAACCAATCCTTTGAATGGATTAATTCTGGTAAGTACTGAAGATTCGCATTACACTAATCATCCATAGTGATGAATCACCTATAAATGGGAGTGTAAACCTCATAAGCCGCCATCATTGGGGGTTTCAACACTGCTCTGGTAAAGCATGGGGTGACCAAATGCAGACACGGATTGTCATCCAGTTAGTGGATCGAGGTTGATGCAGGGCCCAGGTGGGTTCGATGTTACCGCCTGGCAATGGGATCACCATTACATAGACACTGTTTGAACACAGCATCCCATTCAGCTTTCCCTACGCAGTTGAACGATGCCGAGCCAACAATTCTTCAGCGGAGCAGCTGTCAAAACCAAATCCCTAGCCATACCAGATTTCAGAATTTCAATCAACTTGCTTAACAAAACAAGAGGACATTTGGATATCCTTTCCACTTAACAGTTTGCTATCGAAAAATCACCATCTTTCTTAATACGTAAAACGTCCATAAATAGGTTTTTTTCCACAGCAAACTGTCGAAATCCCGGAGGGTAAACCACCAATATTCCATCAATATTTCACTAATATTCCATTTTAATCCCCAATATATCAATATATATATATATATTATACGTGTGTATATATATATATAACCATTGAATCACCTATATCAATATGTATATTGTTGTGGTATATCAACAATGCCGAAGTCACCAACTCCACCCGGGCTCCAGCCCAATGACTGCCAGGGCGATGCCGTTGGTGACGCCCATCATGGCTGAAATCAACTCAGCACCGGTGGCGTATCTCACTGTGGTGAGTTGCTCATCGCGCATATTAACTGGTCTTTGAACATTACAATATCGTACAACATCAATATATAGATATATATGCTGTTATACGTACATATATATATAATATATATATACATGATATATGATGTGAATAATTATGTGTATGGGTTAATTACCATATATGTATTTCATTTGTATGTATGTGTCACTGGGTTAATCATGTACTAGCCAGTGAATCTCTGGGATGCTCCAAGTAAACCCTTGCAAACCATGAACAAACCATCCCCGCAAGACAGGTAAACATACTATGTACACCTATAATATGCAGGCAATGTATATTGCAACTTACTGAACGACTAGTTGTAGGCAGCGTCATTACCAAGTGGACTTGCAGTTTGTTTTTCTGCCCCCACTACCAGTTGCTGCGGGGGTCAAAACCATCAGTTACAAGGATATCCATTCTTGGCTAAAATTTCCCATTCTCTTGGTTTATATCTCCATTTTTAGTGGCTGGTACCTCCATCCATCTCAACTGCTGAAGTGTGGAAGGTCAAATCCCAACATAAGCCAATTTGGGGTCCATATCGATCCCAATTTTGGAGCCATATCCGCTGTGGCAGGTGCATTGCAGTCAAAGAACTGTTGGATGAGTTGGGGTGAACGGAAGATGTGCATGGATTGCGCACCCTGAAAATTTGCCAGGTCTTGTGTTAACCAGGAAAAAGATTTGATAAAACATGATAAAACCCACTGATCATTTTTGAAGAGCAAAAACCCTTTCATGCAATTATCCATATTACATACCCTCCCTCATAGAGGAGATGAACCGGGTGCCCCGGGCAGTTTTCAGCTTCAAGTAGGTCTCCATGGATTGGAAGACGCCCTGATGAATTCAGCAGAAAGGGGGTAAGGCAGAAACAAACGGTGATCAAACAAGACGGAGGTGTAAAAACATGAGAAACACACAACAAAAAAGGAACCGAAAGCTGACAAAGCTGCCAAAAATCATCAACAAAAATTGAGGATACTAACCAACAAACATGGGGCCAAATTGTGTTTCCGCACTAATGGGGTCGCATAGAGTGTAACCGGCTGTCACCCTGGTTCAAGTATAAGTCACAGTTTTCGGCTTTCCCACCGTCCAAGGGTTTCACCATGTTTCACCTAGATACTGGTCTCCAAATCAATTGATAAAGAGAAACCAGCGATCAAACCATACCCAGAACCGAGTTCTTCAGGTCCTCAGCCATTGATCACTTCACAGCCATTGGAGCTGATCCACCAGCAATAATAACCAGGAATAATAACCATAATCAAATAATAATAGTAACCATAATCAATAACAATAACCAGAATAATCACAATTTCATAATCAATAACCATTCCACAGCCATCAACGATGACGAAACCCATCAACAATGGCTGTTTACAGCCAACAATGACAGCCATCACCCCCAACTTTCTTTCTGCATGTTCCTTGCTGTTGAAATAGCTTAGTCTGAAAATAAGGCTATTCCTCAATTCCAATGGATTAGAACCTCATTTCCAACATTTTCCTGATTAACATGGCGATTTTGGTGGGGCATCCCCACTTTTCACAACCAGTGGTTGCTTCAAACAGCCTCCCAATCCCCGCCTGCATCACCGGAGAGAACTCCCGTTGCACTGGCGACCACAACCTCGATGACGATCGTCGACATCCCCCGTTACCCCCAAAAGAAACCATGGTGGATGTAGGGGATTGACACTTTTGGGACCAGGGAAGGAGGGGTAAGATAAGGGGGATGGGATTGTGTCACAGACCATGACTAGCTGGCTTGCATTCTCCCACATGAAATCTGAAAAAAAGTGAAGTTTTGAGACGTCACGACTCTGCAGCTGCGATTCAGCCATGCGCATTGCACAGGAACGTTGCGCTCGTTTTCCAAGTCCAAAAATGGACCCAACCAACTGAATGACCATCGCGCTCGGACTGCCCAATTCTTGAGTTTTCTCAGAAAACTTGTCCCATAGAATTTCTAGTGCAATGGGTCTGAATGACTTTGAGCTTTAAAACTTCAATTTCTTCGAGTTTCTGAACTGAGCATGACTTTGGGACCCGAGTTGAGGAAAAGAAATCTGGAACTCCCCGCAGGAAAAGCACGAAGATGGCTGTAAGGCTGACCTGCGTGCAAGGGTAGATGTTCACCTTCAGCTTGGAGACCCACAGTAGCTGTGTCATTTTGTCTTAGGAAAGGATCGCTTCCACCAAGGCAAGGTATCCCTTGAATCACAGCAGGGTTTCAGGGTTTCGTAAATCCTACCTGATCATCCCAGTCCTGCCTGTGTCACAGTGTAGAAGACCTCAACAGTCACAAACTGGGCCCACCAATTACCGGTTGAAAGGCCAACACCACAGCAGGTAAGTTCTCCTAGGCCCTAGGCCAAATTCCTGGCAACTTGATTGGGAACCTCTGAGCCGAAGCCATCCCGCATTAAGCCAAGGACTTGCCTTTTTTTTGGATACTACCAAAATAATCACCAAATATCATAAACCTTGTGTGGGCTTAATCAACCACATTGACCAATCTACCCAATATTTAACAACATATTGACCTTGGGTAGATTCACATATTAACCACTCATTAATATCTGTGTCATTTACCCATATTAAGTGATATCTAACCAATATCAACATACTTAGAGTTTTCCTTAGTCATGGGGTTACCCCCTTGCATCATCCATGTTATTTTCGGATTTTCCATGAAATAAACCATCCAGCTATTGGGGATCCCCCATTTATGGAAACCCCCAGGTCACATGCCCCAGGGTTCCCCGGCATGTTGGCTCAGGAATTGTGCCGCGTACTGCAAGCAGCTCAGGGCCAACTGACCCATATGCCTCAGGTCGGCGAGCTGCGGTTTTCGGACTAAATGACTAAATGGGGATTTTGGTTTCTGGGGATAGTAATAGGAAAATCATGGGATAGATAGATCACCAACATGATTTGGAGGTGTCATAAAATGTAAAACATTTTAAGATTCAAAATCATCGAAATGATTGGTCATTTTGTTCATGGGGAAGCAAACTCAATGGCTTTTGGGGTACCGCAAGTTCAAGAGACACCCTAGACGGAAACTACCATTTTGAAGAAGAACTGTTGATCTCACTTCGGATTGGTCAACCAGGGGTGTATTGGTCCAAAGTTGACATGATCAACGTTGGCAACCTCACCTGAGGGGTTCACTTAGCTTGGATACCTACTGAAGGAGTAAAGCCACTTGCCATGTACTTAGATCTACATCCCAGTTAGTGACTAACAACGATATTCATGGATTTTCCGGATATTTACATAGATCTATATCCCATATTGATGGCTAAAACCCAAAGATCTATATAGATATATCACAACAATAATATTGTATTCCAGTCCTCTATGGGTTTTCCCCAGTTCTTCATGTGATATTTTCGCCAGTTGACCGTCGCTTGGAAGCCAAGGGCCCCACTCCATGTCAGTAGGGACGCTCTTCTGCAGGTGGAACCTGAGTCACAGAAGGCCTGAGGAACGAAGTTGCCTCATGCGAAAAGAAATGGTGTATATATAATTTGAAATGTGATTTGGATATAAGTTGATATAAATAACCAACTACAAGAAACAAGAAAGAGATATATATATATATTATACATTGCGTATATATATATATACATGTATATATATAGGATGGATACAACTAAGCAACTACAATGTAATCTTTAGCCTCTGCTAATATAACAAGGCAAGTCTGAAATATTCCCAGTAGGAAAATTGTGGGGGGATTGTAGAAATGGATAATGTCCATTGGCAAGTTAGGTTACCAAAGAGTATATAACAGCCCAGCAATCTTTTTGGTCGCCTTGACCAGTTGTTTTTCCGAAAATCCAAGAAGCATGAGTCAGCACGACGCTTTGGTATCGTTCGTTGGAAGTGTGAAAAAGTTTGCCCAAATCATATTGTTGGTGATATCCCATTGCTATTCATAACAATATGATATGTCTATATATTCCCATAGTTATTCCATAAACTCACCGTGACAATGCCCAGAGCTATCGCAGCTATCCCCAGGAAACGCTCTGGTTAGGTTTGCGCAGGGCGAACCAAGGTCTGCACCTTTCAAGCAGGTTTTGGACCTGAACGGTTGCTGAAACTGTCAGTCAAATATCGGGGCAGTCAGCAATTGTTGTAGTGACTATCCACTTTTATTGATCAAATTGCAATGTGATTGATGATGGTTAATGATGGTTAATAGTGATTTATCACATTTTATCACTGGGGATAACACCACCAATTCATAGTCAGGATATCTCAGGATTTACAACGCTGGAATCACACATCGTCATGCTATGCCAAGTCTGTCCTGGCAAATTTGAACCGCTTCACACCTAACATGTAGATGCTGTAGATGGGTGAGGGCTCCGGTCCTCAATTTTGTGGACCTTGAAATCCTGCACCTTTCCCACCATCGATCTACGAGCCTGATTGGTGCGCTTGGAGACACCACCCTCGTAGAAGCGAAAGTCGTGCATGACTGCCTGAGCCAAGGTTTCCTAAGGGTCGGTCACTAACCCCCACCAGTGCCAAAGAAAAGAAAAAAACACAAGTACTGGTCCTCGGTTTGAAAACATAGTCTCTTCTGCTTCTATCCGTGTATGTGACCCCAATTAGCTCCTAGTTACCCCTCAGTCATGCTTGACCCCTTCACTTTGTGACGCTTGTTGTTCTTGTGATCGGAAGACCATCATATATATTCGAGTCATTGCATATCATTGCATGTAGTTGGTCGGGCTGGAGCCCGAGTAATGCTGTTTGACATGAAATGTAATAAGCAACTATGTGCATGTCACACCAAGTGTGAGGGGCGTAGACAAACATATTATATCCAAATTTCCCAGAGGGATGAATATGATGAATCCAAATTTCCCAACCAGAACACACCTGTCGCATCCTGTCGCTAGATGTTGAATCGCTTCAGGGCCCAACGTTTCTGCCTCCCCACTGAGCCAAATGATCTGGCCCACCATCCAGAAGAGCCGACCCGCAAAGGCTATGGTCAGGGCCTGGCGATGATCTGTCCCAGGCTTTTGAAAAAGGTGGCCAGCGGTGGCCATATGGGTTGGGTCAACACCCTGGTTTTTTTTAGGGAATATCCCCACAAAATATGGCCTTATATGCTACAGTACCTCCATTTTTGGATCCTGGAATTCCCATTGATCTTTGCCCCAAATGATGGTCTCATAAGTATGGACCCATAAAAGCACATGCCAAGATCCTGAAAAAGAATCATCGACAGAAGCACGCACAAATCAACCCTGTGAATATAACCAGTGTAATGGTTGCAGATGTGATGCTACGTGGATAGTCGCTCGAAGACTTCAATGGACACGTCGCGGTTTTCTTCTTTGGGGGATCTTTGCTTGAGTGGGTCAAAAATAAATAATTACCCATTCAATACCCCTTTGTACTCTAGAAAATAGTCCCACTGGATTTGGATGATTTGTTTTTTTCATGTTTTTCCCATTGATATCTCTAGCTCGGCCATATCACCCGTGCCATCACAACAACCATCGCCCGAAAAACGCTTGGCCAAAGGAACGATGGACACGAACATGAGGAGCTTCTTGAAAACACTTCCCTGGCAGGAAAACACATCCAAAACTTTCGCAGTGTGTTGGAGAATAGATGGCAGCTGTGGTGCCAAGAATATCCAACTTCTTGCATCCTGTCACTGTGCTGAAGTGGAGGAGGAATTCCAATTAACCTACGAAAGCAGCAGCCCCACTTCAAGTTGAGGCTAAGAGTTTTTCTTTCCGCTGAGTTGAGCGTTGCTGTTTGGGATGTCATTGGTCTGTTGCCAACGTGGGCAGCAACAAACCTAAAACTTTGTTCACCCTCTGGACCACAACAGCGGGTCAGGGACCCGGTGGCTACTGAGCAAACACTGATTGGGATGAAGATTGCCATCACATGCCACCCACTGAACCCCAGCTTCTCAGCTTCCCCGACCAGCTCAGCAAATTCCACCTTGGGACCTCAGAGGAACTCCAAATCAGTTTCCAATTTTGCCCCGAAACAAAGAAAAAACACCAGCCGAAAATGGTAGTTGAAAAGACTTCGCATCTAATTATTTATGGTCGACTAATTTCCACATGTTCCATCTGGAAGTAACCGTGTTGAAAACGTGATCCTCTTGATAGTTCCCCACTCAGTTGCTCGAGCTGGAGCCTTTGAAAGACCCTTTGGCAACCCCGACGTTTGTCCGGGCTTCCATATGTCGCAGACTGGCGCAGCAACCATCTCCCATCAGATTGGACAACCCAGAAAAATACGAGTCACAACATATAGTCTCCCACCTGGACAGAAAAGTGTTTTCGGATTCTAGTTCGATGATGTTGCCTCCATAATTTCCAGACTTTCTACATGGTTTCTATTTCATTTTGGGTTGTTATAGATATATGATATGTACCCTCCGGCAATCAAACATGGCAATTGACAATCGTCCACTTATAACTTATAGATACATTCACATTCTCCAGATGTTTATCATATTTTATCATCTTTTCCTATCTGTTCTTATTAAAACCTCCATCTCACAAGACATGTCTGCCACGGGGTGGCTGCCGGTGGCTGACGGCATGCTGGCCTTGCGGGAGATCCTCAAGCAGCAGCGGCATGCCTTGGAGAAAATCAGGATGAAGCTACACCTCAGCACCGAACATCGGGCGTCCAAACAAATGGGTGATAGGGTGATACAGTGATGACATTGTGTGTTGAACAGAAATAATGATGGTTATATTATATATAAGCAATATATGATATGGTTTATATAATACATAATATATATATATATATTATGTGATGATATAGTGATGGTTAAATAGACATAGTCATAGTGATGAAAATTGCCCCTCTTTGATGTTGGTGTTGTTTCGGTTCACGGTCCTCAAAGCAGTTGGGAGTTCTGGGCCAGGAAAAAAAAAGCCTTGTCAAGCTTTGGATTTTTTTACTACCCTTTTTTCCCATTGAAACCAATTTTGCTGTTGGCCTAATGCATAAGGTGTTGGTCCCCCCCCCGGACAAAGATGTAAGCTGGACTTAGTCCCCGCGCTCAAGAACATCCAGAGTTGCCTGCCGCCACTCACCAAATTTTGCCATTCGGGTATACCAGGTCAAAAACATGTCCAATAAAAGGACGTACTATTGCTTATTAGTCGATATGTTGTACTGTCCCAGTTGCAATGCCACTCACTAACCATGTACCCTCTGTAGCTAGGTTGGATTACCAGAAAGCCGGTTGGGCAACCTGCGTCTGTCAATCTTGGGTACGCTGGAGATCCGCAAACCGTAAACGCCGTAAACCCAATGATGCTGATGCACCCTGGGCAGTAGAGAGGTTAACCAAGCATTTTCGTCTGAAAGCAACCAAATGTTCCATCACGCAAGGGACACAAAGGTGCGTCCAAACCACCAAGCGTCCAAGTGCCTGTTTCACTGGCTCCAGGACGGTGACCAATAAGAGCGCCATGATAAATGGTAACAGAAGGTCAGCAAATTGTTCCTGCGGACTAAGAATTCCACCCGGTCTGAGGCACTTTCACAATATACAGCTGTTGAATTGCTGGACCAAAGGAAAAATCAAGGATAAAACCCTAGAAATAAGACCCTAGAAAGGTGGTTGAACACGGTTGTTTCGGGTAGAATTTCCTTCAATCGACCTATTGATTGGATGATGTCAATTCGAGATCTCGCTTTCCAAAGCATCAGTCTCTGAGAGTCTCAGCCTTAGATCTGGCTTCCCAGGTTCATCCAAGTTGTGAGTAGAACCACAACCCCCAAATGGGTACCATATGGATCCAAAATGTCAGACTAGGAAAAACTGATAAATGTTTGCCTTAAAATGGGGTACACCGAAATCCCAGGGTTTATCAGTTTATCATCACTTGCCCGTCTACAATTGCCATGTCAGGGTAATTCGTGCCACAATTGCAGCTTCACCGGCCCAACGGACCAGCATTTTGACGCCAAAGTGGAAAACGATGATGGCCACAGCGATCTTGAAACCGTTGTAGCCACCCTGTCATGGGGTCATGGGCCCATTGTCAATGGGGTGCTAGTGCTGATCCCCTATCCCACTTTTGGAGTTGATCCAACATTAAGTGCTAAATCCATTGACCATCCACAGATGGGATTTCTTATTACAGATACCGTATATGCCCCTTTGGATATTCTGAAACGAGCCCCAAATGGTTGGATTCTGGTTTCTGCTTGGGTCTACCGCATTTACGATGTCATATGATGGGTACGGCGGGTTACAGCCCAAATTGTCACCGAATGGGGTTGTAATCCCAAAGACCTTCTGCTTGTCCTGAGTGATGGTAGTCGTATGTAACTCCACCTAAATCCGGTATAGGCTCCAGGACTAGGCTGTGGAAATGATGGAAGAAACGGCTGGCACAAAAGTCTTTCAATCAACGTGTTCAATTTTCTAGACCTCATCTCTCCAAACTGAATCCAATAAAAGAGTATGCCTCCCATAAATCCTGACATCAGAACCATGTGGAAATCACCATCGTTGTACAAGTGTTCTCTGCTGAACCTGGTATGATATGCAAAAATCATTTGCCCAAAATTTTGGCAAGGAAATGTTAGGAAAAAAGAAGTGTTTTATAATTTATAAACCATAAATAAACCTAGTTTTGCAACCCAACGGCAAGTTTCAGGGTTCCAGGTTCCAGGGTTCTAGCGTTCGGGTTCCGTTCCGGTTTTTACGATTTGGCAAACAAACAACTCCCCTTTAGGGTTTAGGGTTTAGGGTACTCCCAAACCCAGGGATTCGAAACCCAACGGTCAGTGCCTGTAGTGGTGTCACCGTGTTGTCGCGCCGCCACTGGCGATGGCATGGGCAACCGGGGTCCCATTGGCATCGACAGATTCTTGGACTTTTCAATGTCCAAAGTCAAACATTCCAGCATTGGTTTCAGTTAGAATGTTAAAAATGTGTTTATTGCACGAAAGAATCCTTGGGGACATGTCCCAAACTAACCTGTTCTCAGCCACCAGAGTTTTGAAAATGGCCTGGCGGTCCATGGAACCTGCCCGAGGACGCCTGGGAAAAGTTGGCCAAAGTTGCGGTTTCGACAAAGTGGCAGATTTCGCAGCGTTGTTATTTAAATTTGGACTGGTGGACGCATTTTTTCATTTACCCATGATTACCCCAATTTCAAATAGCTAAACTGGTTCAATCCCATTTCTGGGAACCCCAATATTTCCTCCTTCCTGGCCGAATTTTCAGGTTCCTTGGCACCCCAACGCATGATCGCCGGAACGTTGCCGCAAATGCCCCGGCCTCGTCGGCAAATTTCGGATTTAAAAAACACATGGAAAATGTCATGTTTTATGAAACGATAATTTTTAAGTGCACTTTGTGAGACGATTCAGTGGAGCTGGACTTGGATTTTGGTTCTGAAGAACATTCATTCCGTCGGCTGCAAAAATGCTGGAGGGCCTTCTTTCTCCATCCATGGCACCGGACAAGCAAAAAATGGGATGAAAAATGGGGTTGCCCAAGGGCAAAAACGTGTTTGTTAATTTTTTTTGCAATTCCTATATGTCTCCAAATTCTGCACACCCGAACCTGACCCTTACAAAAAAACAAACGTGACTAAAGGTTTATTGATACAAACCTTTAGCAACAAAAAAAATTGCAAATCCGTTTGTGGTGCATATAATGACTGGTCTGAAACAGCTGCGGAACATCGAAAAAAATGTGGACGACCGGTTGCCATTTGATGATTTTCGAGACATTATCGCCTTCAAGTTTCACAGTCAAAGTTACATGTTTTTGTACAGGTATAGTACTAATATCCACCCAAAACCCTCCCATCTATAATCCGAGATATAAAGGAGAGCAGGGCAACCGGGATATAATATCCGTATCCAAGCAGCATATTAAAACGCGTCCTACGCTTTCCCATTTATATATGTTTCTCTTATACAAGTATCCAAAATTTACCGAACCAAAAACCAAAAATCAAAAACATCCAAAAACGAAATCAGGTGAAATCGGACACGTATGAACTGCCGTATCGTTTTGCGTTTGTTTCCGAACTGCCGTTTCGTTTTGCGTTTGTTTCGGAGTGATCGCCGAACGCAAATTGAATTTTTTTTTTTTTCATCGCCTGATTTGTTAAACACGGTTGGTGTTCCCAAGACCTTCCTTTTGGATGTCTGCTTCACCACTTTTATTTTTCCGGGGTGTTTCTTCCGAGCAGCATCTCAATCTTCCCAAGACCTTCCTTTTGGATGTCTGCTTCACCACTTTTATTTTTCCGGGGTGTTTCTTCCGAGCAGCATCTCAATCCCGGGTCTGGGTGGGTGGGGTACTTTTGACCTCCAACCCATATTGATCCACTGATACTGCATATAGAAAGAGTGGGTCATAATTCCATCCTTAAATTCTAATACCGTTAAGGATACCAGATATCCAAAAAACCGAAGTTGGTTTCCAACTTGACAGATCATACCGGAAAGTTTCTTTGCCAAACTTTCAAGGTTCCTAAAAAACCAAAGATTTAGTTCAAATAAAAACCACAGTTTTCAGATTGTTTGAGTTCCGTCATAACTTCCGAGTTACTAGGTAACTAAGCAACGAACCCAAACCAAACAAGCACACAGAAACCGGTGTACCAACACCTCAATGTATATCCTCATCAGTAGATGAGAACATTAGATCGGGACAACAGGACGCGCTACGCCGCTAAGATAAAAAGAAGTACCAACCAATACGCTATCGCAACAAGTCGCGAGTGCGTACAGGTATAGTACTAATATCCACCCAAAACCCTCCCATCTATAATCCGAGATATAAAGGAGAGCAGGGCAACCGGGATATAATATCCGTATCCAAGCAGCATATTAAAACGCGTCCTACGCTTTCCCATTTATATATGTTTCTCTTATACAAGTATCCAAAATTTACCGAACCAAAAACCAAAAATCAAAAACATCCAAAAACGAAATCAGGTGAAATCGGACATGTATGAACTGCCGTATCGTTTTGCGTTTGTTTCCGAACTGCCGTTTCGTTTTGCGTTTGTTTCGGAGTGATCGCCGAACGCAAATTGAAATTCTTTCTTTTTCATCGCCTGATTTGTTAAACACGGTTGGTGTTCCCAAGACCTTCCTTTTGGATGTCTGCTTCACCACTTTTATTTTTCCGGGGTGTTTCTTCCGAGCAGCATCTCAATCCCTTTGCAAACGAGGGATCACCACGGCTCCATCTTTCTTTTCTTATTGGCTCTCTTTGGTTTTGGATTTGAACTACTTTGTTTCTTCTCCCTGGCCAACTCTTCGTGAAACTCCTGTGCTTTGTGCATAAGCCTGTCCAAGACCAACCACTTTGTATCACCACCAACAAACTGTATACGCTTATCCAAAGGGAAAGAGTCAAATTTTTGATTTGTCAGGTCGTCTGCAAGCTGATTCAAATCTCTGGGGACCCACTGCAAGTTCAGTTCACAATCTCTTGTGCGCAAAGTTTCGGACAACTCCATTATTAAAATGGTAAGAGGAAATTTCGTGCTCATCCACTTGCTAACCGCATAGGCATTGGAGAGGTTGTCGGTGCTCCCCTTTACCCAACAAGTTCCTTTTCCTCCAAGCGGCAAGCCCTTTGCCCATAGTCTCACCGCTATGAGTGTTGCCAACATCTCCAGCGCCGCTATGACCCTCTTTGGGTCCTTCCTAAGGAACAACCAAGGCGCCCATGCTTCCTCCACTTCTTCTGAAAACCATTCCCCAATCTGTCCATCTGAAGTTTGTAGAAAACCTCCAACCCAGGCCCCTTTCTCTGTTGCTTTCGCATCTGTATAGAAAATTACATCGTCCTCCTTACCCTCTTTCAAAGGGGGCGGCGCCTGTAGACTTCCGCCTTCCGCAGTTCTGTCCGCCAGAAACCATAGTATGGTCCTCAACATCGTTGGAATCCTAAGGACTCCAGTCTTGTTTCTTATCGCTGCCGTCCAAGAATATAGAGGTCCAAGAAAAGGTCTCTCCCAGGTCAAAGCATTTGCCGCAAATCCAAGCCTTCCCAAGCCTTGCTCCATCTCTTTGGCCGTGACTCGACCTGTGGTGGCCAATTTGCGCGACCAACCTTCCATCCAAGCAGCCCTCTTTGGTGAAAGCCCCAAGCGCATTGTAGTGTAGTCTGTGTATAGTCCAATCCATTCTACTTTTAAGCCTCCTCGTTGTTTGGCCCATTTGAAGGGAAAGCCCAAGGTGGATAAAAACAAGAATGAAAGCACTTTGCCACGTCTGCCACGTAATCCTGCGCCTAAAGATTCCAAGTCATCTGCAAAGATGAGCATTTCTATCGGCATCTCCGGCCCCAAAAACTCATGTACCAATCGAATACCTGCACCTGCAATTCTGCCCCACCAATAGCTTGCTGAAGCTACTCCGAAGGTTCCTACCTTGTTGATATAGATGTGCTTGTCTGAGCTTTTGACCCGGCACGCCAGCAAGCCATGTTCCAAGGGATCGTGAAGGAATCGTCGATGAGCTTTGCTAATATCACCCACAAGGCTGAAGACTACATCGCCTCTCGAACGGTAATAAGATAGCAAGTATCTCTTCTCTCTAGCTCCTGGGCTCCGCTGTTTGTCACGGCATTTAATTCTGTTATTGATTTTTGTTCCATGTGTAGCATCGTGTATCACCCTCCTTTTGTTTCCATGAGCTTCTTCCACAAGCACTGCCAGTGAAGAAATAGCGATCCTGTCGCCAAAGCGCTGTTTGGCTTCCTCCAATGTAAGCTTCTCCATAAGACCTTCGCTGCACTCATCCTCAAATTGTTGCCTCACAAAGTTTTCGTGGTCGCCTACCGACTCATAGTTATCCCTCCATACCTCAGATTTCATATAGGGATCATCTTCAAGCTTCCAAGATGTCTGCTCCTCGTACATGTGGGGGGTCCGCGGCAGGGGTCTTATGACTCCCACCGGGAAGCCCTTCTCTCCATCAAGCAAGAACTTGTGATCTGGATCTCCTGCTCTATCCAGCAATGCTTCCATAAGTCTGAGTCTAAAAGGTTGCCCTGCTGCCACCTCTGTCAACCCTTGTGCGTTGTACCCCTCTTTCTCAAGGCTACTGCTCCAAAAATCTACCAGCTGTTGTTTCACCGTCTCATTCTTCACCAGTGTGCATCCTTCTTCACCCTGTGCTGCCATTTCAAAGCACATTCTATCCAAGCTCTGTAAACCCCCACAGTGTTGCAGTATAATTTCCATGGATCCTTTCCGCAAGCTTTCCCAAAAGAGATCTCGGTTCCATATCCTCTTCTCCAAATCCCATCTGCCTGGTGAAGCCAGGCCGCATCCATCGTGAAACCAACGCACTTTGCCCGGCACCTCGCATTTTCTAGCTTCTCCTTCTCCACCAGAAATTTTCCAACCTTCTGCCATGGTCGTGGGGTACTCTTCTCTCAGATCCTTAGGAACTCTTGTTGTCTCTGTCACTCCATCGCATTTCTTGTCCCCCTCACCGTAGGCAGTAATGGAGTGTCGTGTCGCCCAAAAGGTCAGAATTTTATGTGCAACCCATTTGCAAAATGCACTGGGCCATTGCTCTGTACCAGCTGTTGTAAAGCGCCCTGCATGTTGTCCTATAAGCGCCACTGTCGCTGGACGCTTGCTGAGTGGACCCTGATAAAAACCCTGACTATCAAAACATGGCGCTCCCACCTTGAAAAGGTCTGTATCCACCTCCACATTCTTTAGCAACAGGCGCGTCGGTTTCAAATAATCAGTTCCAAAGTCTTGTTGATAAAACGCGCATGTCAGAAAATCACCAGATTCAATCAATTCCCAGAAAATTGGCCATTGCCACATGCTTGCAGGTCTCAGGCCCTCATACGGGCCATGTTGTACTGCTCCCAGATCCTCTGGGTTTTCAAAAACCAGTATTGTATCCTCTTTCCTTACAGCTTTGCAAACCTCATATGAAAAATCTGTCATGACGTTTCCCCAGTTGGCCTTCTTTCTCTCTGTCCATGTAAGCCTTGGCAGCCCTCGTAAATGCACAAACGTACGCACAGGTCTGGGCCCCCTTCTGTTTGAGAAGGTTGCACGTGTGAAAGTGGAACACGGTGGGCTCAAAATGATGGCCGCATAAACTCCAGCCTTTATCTTGTTTAACAAGGACTGTTGGACTGCTCTTTTTGTCACATCCAAATGCGGTCGCACCTTGATGTCCACCATGTCAATCTGTACCTTCATTTGCCACTTAGCGGCGAGCTTCCTTGTCCAGAAACTAACTGACCCCTTACGGGTACATCCTGAAAACAAGTATAATACTTTGCAAGTATCTGTATTCTGTGAAACTTTCTGCACTCCTACATCCGTGAGTCAGGTGCCCGTCGTGTCGGGCGTGGTCTTCTCTTTGCAGTTGAGCGCGTTGTGACCCTTCTTGAAACACTTATTACACATGTGAGCGAACTTGCACTTCTGATAGTTGCACTTTCCAGCATTGAACCTGAAGCAAATCTTTTCACCATCCGGTCCTTGTCCAGACCCTTTCTGAGATCCTTTGGACTTCGTTTTTCCTTTTCCTTTACCCTTTGGGTTCCAGTTGCCTGCATTCTGATTGTTGTTCTGTGGATAAGCCCGTTTCGAATACAAAGCCAAAGGAGTAATGAAATGCCTCTCCTTTGTTGTCGGGCACTTCCAAGCCTTCTCCAACGCTGCGCCCAGCATCAGGCGCTCCGTCAACATGAGGCTGTACGCCCTTTTTCTCACAGCATGTTCATATGAAAGCACCAGACTCCAAGGAGGTGTCTGAATCTGCTGTCCATTCAAATCTGTTGAACTCAAGCCCCAAACATAGTCGCCCAAGATGTAGTCTTTGTATCGATCAAATATGTCTTTCGTAACATCTTGGATTTCTTCTCTGCTAACGTACTTCAGTGCTAACATCATCAAGCAGTTCTGCATGACACTGAGGCGACGGCGAAGTTGCTCCGGTCCCGTTGGCATCGCCACCGTGGTGCTTCCCTTTTTCACTGACAAACTTCCTTTGCTATCAAAAACTGGGACCAATACATCTGGATCAATTTCGTCCTTTGAAACCACCTCTGACAACGTCTCAGCTCTGAACTCACCATTTTCCAGTTCTTGCAGTTTCTTTTCTAAATATTCTTTCGAAGGCATGACTCGATCTTCAACTTGTCCAACTGAAGTTTGAAAGAAATTCTTAAGCTGCACATAGTCTCCAACTGGAATGGGTTTGGTCCACTCTCTGGAGTTCATCTCTGCCTCCACCTCCGATTGTCGTTTTGCCTTTGTAACCGTGTCCTTCCATGAACATATCACTGCAGCTACCTTTGCACGATCTGCTAAAGCATTCGCAGCATCCACATTGAATTCATCTCTCAACACATGTACAAGATCTGTTTCATCTCTGAAAAATGAAGAAAACTTGCTAACGCTCGTAACACCATTCTCAAAGAAGTGCGCCTGCATATCGTCTGGAACATCGTTTCGGCTCAAAGTAAATCTCAGGTCTGAACTCCCAAGCTTCAATGATTCTGCCAGCGTACGCGGTCCCACCAAGGCGGGAATTGCCATCACCCTCAACGGTCGGCTTCCGCCAAGTGAGAAAGTATGAACCTATTTGCAGGAATCAAATCATAAATAAAGCCTTTCCAAAAACCCATGAAACTCCACACGGCAATCAAATCTTGCCTAAAACTTTTTCTTTATATTATACCCAAACATTCCAAAAACATTGTTATTATAATTCCAGTCAATCGCACACCTGTCCCTCTTCACGCATGTTGCTCTGAGCCCAATCCGGGAATCAGCGGATTCCTTGAAGCTCAACCACCCAATGCTTTTCTCCAAAAGTATTCTTCCCTGTCACTTTCCCCAATTTTCCGGTCAGGATATTTCTAATACTTCCGACCCTGACAGTCTATTCAAGTGACGTCTCAAAACTCCGTTTTCCGACAGAGTTCAAATCTTCAATATGTGATGCAACATGTGTAAGACAAGTGTAACTCGGATTCCAAGTCTTCTTTTTCCGTTGTCCTAGGAATCATACATCCCAGTGTAAACCATGTGAAATCCATCAAGAAACTCGAAAGGTGAAACCGTCCCGTCTTTGGGGACCTAAAGCCGTGCTGTCAGCTGCTGGAAGAACTGGACTTTGAAGAATCGCTTGTATCCGAAGATGTCTCCCCAGAACTCTCTTCACCTTCCGTTACCTTCGGCCAGCATACCCTGCACACGTGTGTATACTGCGACTCGTCCGGCTTGTTCTCAAACTCCTGTGAAGCTTTGAATATCTTCTCTCTAGCCATCCAACAACCCCCAGCAGCTTTGTGCAGCCTCTTGCAGTTCCTGGCAGTTGTCACCACGATGAAACCATTCTGCCTCTTCGTCTTTGGCTCCTCGGATCCCTCTGGGTCTGGAACCTCTTCTAACGTCTCTGACTGATCCACCTCATATTCATGACCTTGTTGTGTGAGTGGTTCAGCCTGTATTGCAAAGGAGTCCATAGCTGCCATCAAACTCTGCAATATGTCACTACGTTCCTGTTCAGCAATCTCCGTTTTCCTATACCTCAACCATGCTTCTGCACTTTCAGCAATATCTATTTCATCCTGAATCCTGAATCTATTCGGTTTTCTGAAAGCTTTCCCACATTTTCCCTGTAGTTGTGCAACCAACCCATCGTAGGACCTGATGTATGTATCGCTAGCCTCGGGCTTCCAACGCCCAACCAGATCTCTCTTCTTGTTCTCCACCCCCAACATCGCCAATGCTGTCGGAAGAGTGGCCCGCTCACTGTGTTCAGTCCAAAAGGATGACAAATCTTCAGGCAACACTGTATTGAAATCATAATAGCTGGTCAGTCTTTTTCTGAGATGACAAGAATATGCAGTGACATCCTGATAGGTAGCATATTTCTGTTGAAATCCACTCCAGTCCTCCGTCAACTTCGGGAGCAAATAATCCCTTTCGAAACTGGCATGCGTCTTAAGGAGATTGAAACCTTTTTGAATCCAGTCCACATCCCAAACAAATGCATATTCTGAGATGCATACCGGCAACTCCTGTACACGCTTACCAGGACCTGACGTCTTGGTTACCCTCAATGTGGTTGTCATCCTACCACCTGTCAAGTGCAACTGCGACAGGTTGATCTTCTGCATATCATCAAAACGTAGGGCCCCCCAAATCTTCAGCAGTTTCACCCAAGCTATTACTCGCATACCCACTGAAAGCTCTGTGTCAATGACTGTTGCTTCCAAAGATTCAATAACAACTGAGGGATATCTAGGAGCCCTGCGTACTGGAGGTGCTTCGGCTGCCAGCTTCTCCGATATGTAATCTCTCACTTGGGTTACCACCCTCGTGGTGGCCACCACTTCAGATTCATTGAAACCAGCTATTTTCTCAAGCCATGCCACTGCTTTGCAAATGAAATTCGGAATACTTGCACCACAAGGTTCATCAAAGCGACAAAATAAATACTCGCAAAAACATGCCGGGGTGGTTCAATGCATCTGCACCCCAGGTGTTGAATTTCCAAACTTGCCAGTCTCTCCACGCCTTCAAGTACCTCTTCAAGGTGCTCGATTTGATTTTCCCTGCTATGGCAACATGCAAACGTTCCTGTCCAACGCAAAACTGAATACCTTTCAAGACTGGTACATCTACCTTGAGAAGTTCTTTGTACAACTCTTTAGACCACCTATCTTTCAACGAAGTCTCATGCTCTTGCTTTGCCATAGCTTGATCTCTCCTGATCCTCTGTCTCTCACTGACTGGCATCCAAGGTTCCTCGACAAGCCTAATGCCTTTGGCATGACCTGAACTTGAACTAGAATTTGGAGACATGAAACTTTTATGCAGAAAACTTCCAATCTCGAGTGGATCTTGTTGGAGGTCTCCACGCAAACGTTTCTGGTAAGGCTCCGACGTTGAAATTGTCTGCACCCATCCGGCTACAGTATCAACATGCAAACCCTCACAAATGACACCTAAATGCTCACAGATCTGTCCTGCTATCACTCCAGATTCAGAGACATCGAAAACTGCCAGCTTCTTCTCATCTAAACCAAATTTTTGTAGCACATTCCACATGACCTTCTCCAAGCAGTCGTCCTCCATCGGGTGCACAAGTGCGCCGGGGCTCAGCCGCTCCCTTAAGGTACTTTTGACCTCCAACCCATATTGATCCACTGATACTGCATATAGAAAGAGTGGGTCATAATTCCATCCTTAAATTCTAATACCGTTAAGGATACCAGATATCCAAAAAACCGAAGTTGGTTTCCAACTTGACAGATCATACCGGAAAGTTTCTTTGCCAAACTTTCAAGGTTCCTAAAAAACCAAAGATTTAGTTCAAATAAAAACCACAGTTTTCAGATTGTTTGAGTTCCGTCATAACTTCCGAGTTACTAGGTAACTAAGCAACGAACCCAAACCAAACAAGCACACAGAAACCGGTGTACCAACACCTCAATGTATATCCTCATCAGTAGATGAGAACATTAGATCGGGACAACAGGACGCGCTACGCCGCTAAGATAAAAAGAAGTACCAACCAATACGCTATCGCAACAAGTCGCGAGTGCGAACTACGCAATATGGAAATAGTTCCAGCGTTTGCATATTTTCAACACTCATTGAACCCAACGTGTTTATCAAATTACATCCATTATTTCGCAACAATTTGGGAATCGTCTGTCAATTTGTAAACGTTTTTTTATGTACAAATATCTGTTACTAAAGGCATTTGTGTAAAAAAAACTTTGTGTTAAGGCGCTTGTGTGTGAATCTGTATGTCTGCACAAATTTGTGTAAGTATTTTTTTGCGTGTGATGGCAGTTGATGGCAAAATTTTGTCTGCCAATGCATCTGTGCACAAAGGCACGTGCAATATTTTTTGGCGTTAAAGTTAATTTTTTTGATGTGCAAAAAAAAATCTGCACAAACACCACTGATTAAAAAATTGCGCGCGTGTGTTTGTAAACGATTTTTCCTCATCAAAACACGTTCAAGCTGCTGAATGCGGACACGTCCTTTTTGCAAGTGGGATTGGTGCGCAGCCGTCCTTTAGGTTGTGGGCTAGGCAACTCACCGAAGCCAAAGTGGAGAAGGTGGTGAACGGGGATGGTGGTGGGTCATTGAAACTTCGAAGCGAGAGGCTCAACCCGCCCACCCTCCACTTGAAGGAAAACGTTTGCAACACAGGCGAATGGCATTTGACATCGGAATGTATTGTCCCAAGTGACAAAGACGTCCTCATCAAAACACGTTCAAGATGCTCGATGCGGACACTTCCTTTTTGCAAGTGGGATTGGTGTGCGGCCGTCCTTCCCAAACTCATCAGCTGTGTTGTTACCCAACTATCAAGGATTCTTTTAACATTTGCAGAGACATCAACGCCGTTTCTCAGCAGCTCGCCATTGATCCTTCCTCCTGATGGTGCGTCCGCCACACTGCAGCTTGAAGGAACTCTGGCCAGCCATGTAAACGCATGTACACTTGCTTCGAGTTCAACCATTTTTTCCGCAAGAAAGTCCACAACTGTGTTATCTGAAGGACCACGCAACAGAGAAAACTTGGTACCCTCATTGTCAACAAACAGCACGCATCGTCTGTTTGCAAAATTTCGAAAGCCAGATTTGAAAGGCGATGACAGCTGCTAGAGTCTCCGCCTCAAAAATTACCTGTTTCTTCTTGAATTTCATCAATTTCCATTTTGAAAGAAGAAAACACCTGAAAGCCCACACGGCCCGTCTGTGAATATCACTGCGTTGTGCTTGTCAAGGGCACGGATTTCAAAAGGCACACGTTGCTTCAAGAATTTTGAAAACAGCTGAACAAAGAGGCGATCCTTCTGCTGCAACTTGAACCTGCGACCTTCTGCAAAGTCACCTAGTGCTTTGAGGAATCGCTTGCCTGTTCTCCCAAAAAGGCTGTACACTGTACATCTGCAAACTGCATTTTTCCACGCAAACGCTGTGCTTGCTTCCTAGTCAAAACGCCATCCGCAAGAACCACTTCCAGATCGGCACAAAGTTCATTGACCCGACTGTCGGTGTTACAAACAAAAGCAGAGCCATTTGAAGAACCTCCAAGCTCGAAAGCAACTCCCAGAACCTCGCATTCCTGTTCTCAGGAGACTGCAACTGAAGAGCTGAAGCTCAAACAAAAGAAAAAGGGGACAGGCAAACGGGAGACCGCCAGGAGAAAGAGGGACACAAGAACACCGGCGCGAAATAAACTAAACGACGCGTCCTACGCAACAACAACAACAACAACAACCCAACCAAACAACTCAAACTAAAACTACATCCAGAACCACTGCCATCAACAAACATGTATTGACATCACTGAAATAAACGGCTAACGCTTGAAATCCGATTCACACTTTTCCAGCGATGGTTGTCGTTGCCACAAATGGAGTCTGATGCTCCGCCCCATCCACATCTCCTGATATCATCCAAATCTTCGTTTGGGAACAGAAGTGGTGAGGAAGCGAGGTATCCTGTCACCCTGCCGGTCAAAAAAGGCAAAACCGGGGTTGTAGCAACCTATGTCTGCTGATTGTTCTCCACTGGCTGATCCCGTCCAAGGAGTGATACCAAAGCTGTGTCTCCAGCGCATACCAGCTGCATCAGGGTTTCCAAGGATTTTGGCCTCCAATAACCCGATTTGAGTCTGAGTCGCTGCAAAATGTCTGGAAACCGTGTCGACGAAGTCCGTCAGGGATTCTCAGCTTCACATGAACTCAAAGAAAATGTTTGTTGCCGACATCTCACCCTTGTTTCCCCTTTGTCGGCACAGACCCAACATGATTGGATGACTCTGGTATTGGGGTGCCCCCTTTGAGATCTTTCACTTGTGCTTCTCCAACGGTTGTCCCAGTCTTGCAACCCTCTAGGTTGCGGATCTCTTCCTGCATTCCCAAAAAACCAAGACTCGGGTCCAAGTACTGCAGTGTCTGGTCATCCACAATAGAGTCCAGTTTCCAAACCAAAACTTCAGATTTTCCCAACGTCATCTTCACATATTCATGTTGCTTGTTGGGTTCATACCTGATGGATTCCACAGTTCCCGGAAACATATTTTTGGGCTGTAGCTGGACAAAAACTCGCTGCACCTTCAAGCACAAACATGGAGGAAACAAGAACTGGTTCACCTGGGTTGGTGAAAAAAAAATCCAGAATGGAAGCCAAAGAATTGCTGAAGCAGCAGGTGAAATTTGTTAGCCATGCAATTGCAGACCAAACTCAATCGAAATCCACTTCAAAGTTGAATCAGTTTGCAAAACAAGTTCTTAGAATCATTTCCACATGGAAAGTTGTGACCATGGCAGAAGGACAGCAGGTATCTGGATTCCTTGAGGCGATCAAGCCTTACAAAGCCTTGAGTCTGTGGCACGTGGTTTCGAGCCCAATGGTTTACATGATGGCAATGGGATTTATTTTCATGCTGGCATGTGTGATATTTATGATACCTTTTGGTACTGGCAATGCTG